TGTTAATCTTAAGAACCAGAATGCAGTTTTTTATCACTGTGAATTTTCAGCTTGCATCAAAAATTACTTAACATTAACATTTAAACAATTAATCATTTTTAAACAGCAGCTTTTTGCATTTTACCCATTAACGATGATTGCATTAACCGTGGGAAATCAACAGTCTAATTAACATAGCCTTAACGATTTTACGTTATCGTTTACAGTGCAATAACATTTCTATGAGAAAACTGTTGCGCAACTGTCAAAAAATATTTATCCCACGTTTATAATATGAAAAAAAGCTATGAAATAAAATCATTTGAATAACTAAAATAAAAATTGAATTGTAAATTAGGAAAAAGATATTAATGGATTTAGAAATTAACGCAATATTCCGTTTTAAGAAAGGAATTCAGTTTTCCTACTTTCTCTAGATATTTAGTTTCAATTATTAACTGAAACGTTAAAGTGAAAGAACAGAAAATTTTCCTGCATGGTTCATTGGAAACATTGAAGGGAGTTTCAATACTGGAATTTTTAAAAAATAGGCGAAAGTTACTAATCTTTTCCAGGTAACAGCTTAAACTGCTTTTTGTGCTTATCCCTATCATTTAGTTTCTATTCTGATGGTTGCAGCAACAAATGCTGAAAGGGGGGGGAGAGAAGTTCATTCAACTCTCGGAGACATCTATATTCCATTAAAGCCCTACGGCGTTTTGACTTTTCTATTGTTCTAGTTATGGTAGCTTCCTACAATTCCGCTGATGACAGCGCACTACTTTGTAATTATTAGACACGGAAACTACACTTCTTTTAAAATCAGTTCTGTTCATTTCAATATTTTTACGCCTTGCTTGTTTAAAGTAGTAAGAAAACCGATGAAATTTTCTTTCTATTCTTTATATAAATGAGTAAGATCTGAGGAACAAAATATAGATGAATTTCATGGCGTAATAAACGTAATTATATATATTAGTCAGCAAAAAGAAATTCTTTCTAACCAGTAAAAAAAGATAGCATTCTTCTATCAAGTCATTCTCTTGAACTCAAAAATGATACCTTTCCTCTAAATTTTAATCTGAACTACATTCCATATATAATACATTTAAAAACCAAGGTAAAATATTAATTATATTTATATATTGCTATACGTATAGGTTACATTTAACAAAACGGGAAACAAGGCTAAGCGGGGGAACATTGTTTCGCTGCTTAAGCAATAGCTATAAAGCATTTTCTCCCTCCTTCCGGTATGCCTTCGTGGTGTAACGGTAGCACACTTGGCGCGTATTCGAGAGGTCTAGGTTCGAGTTCCAGGGAGGACATTGCACTTTTTCACGTCTCCTGCTTCATAAAATCCTAATGACTCTACAGTGGCACCAGAACTGAAAATGGTGGTGGATGATGATTCTTCATCACCAGGATTAACGACTGGGTCGCCTAACTCCCAGTCACTCTTAAAAAGGTGGTATATATAAGGTACTTTCTCCCTCCTTCCAGCATGCCTTCGTGGTACTGTAGCACATTCGGCGCGTATTCGAGAGGTTCAGGTTTAAGAACACTACACATTTTCCCATCTCCTATTACAAAAAACCTAATGACTACAAGCTTAGGTGAGATTCTACATAATTTATTCTTGATTTTCAATATACAATATCCAACAGGAATCCCGACAGTATAATTATTTCCAAACTACTTTTACAGATTTTATTTGTCAGTTTTACGTACTTTTGGAAATACTGTCTTTGTCCCTCACCATCTTCGTCTAATTTAGTTGGCAGGCTAGGGATAAGAACACAGGGCAGAAAATGAATTTTTAGGGATATCAGACAATTTCTCTGATATATTGGTTTTTTTATAGATATCAGACAACCTTATTTTCCTGACCTTTTTACCAATTTTTATCCTTACAAACTAAGGAAATTTAATCCTCAATTTTGTAATCATCTTAAGAACATCCGAAGTACAATAAGTACGTTTTCTTTTACCCCCCGTGTTTCGTCGCCTTAAGCCGAATAAGCCTCATACATATTAAAACATGTTTAGAATATTTTGTACTACGAGATTCAATAGCGATTAAAATCAGATTTTTGGAAGCAAGACGAGTACTATAATACCTGATAATAAATCGGATTACAGATTAAAAGAATAAAATATTATGTTTCTGACAAATAAATAACATAAAAAGTTATAAGTAAAGCAAAATATCAATTGTAAAATTATTAAATATTGTCTAATTGTAATTATGAATAACTACACTTTGAATAAGCAAAGGGACAGTTCGATATCTTCCCTTCTACCGGACCGACTGACGAAATTTAAATGCATTTTTGATGTCTCGTAGGATATACTATATTACATTTTATTATAGCGTTGTTCAAACGTACGTAGTTGGACACTTGGGGATTTTTCTGACATGGCAAATCGATTTTTTCCATATTTCGATTCTACGACTCAAATTATGCTAAAGTGCCAAGTTTTGTAAATGTCGCACGAATACTTTTAAAAAAATTAGCTCTCAAAATTATAGCTTCTCAAATGTTGTTTATTAAGAGTTCTTCTTTTTTTAATTAAACCTACTTGTTTTCTTCTTTCGCAATTCGAAATTTAGGTTCAATCCAAATAAAATTCTGATAATTTTGGAATTCAATCCAAATAAAACATTTTCTTATTTATTTTTAAACTTTGTAGTTTTTAGTAATTGTTATAGATCTTTCGAAAACGTTTTTGAACTAATGAAATTTTTACCATCACCTTAAAGCCGATGTGTTTCTAGGCACACCTAACAAAAAATTAGTGTGTTATTAAACATTTCCCAAGATATATGCGAATCTATATATTGGCGCGTTTTGAAATTTTACATATTTGTTGTAAGCGATAAAAACCCCGAATGTAATTTACGTACTTTGTTAAAATTTTTGAAAGAATGAATAAAGCACCTTTTTTTTTCCCGTTCGTTCGCAATGAGAGAGAAAAGAAAATAGGTTACCATAAATTAAGAATTTTGTCAAGTGTATTTATACTTGGCGCAAACTGAGAAAAGTGCGCAGAAATAAATTTTTAAATTTATCGGTAAATTTCTTACCAAATTTTACAGAATATAATAACTAGGCATAATCTGAGTCGTAGAATAGACATATGAAGAGAAATCGGTATGTCACATCAGAAATCCGAGTTTGTGTCAAAATACCTATGATAAGATTTTGACTCAAAATACCTGGAAAAATGCATATGTATTGTTACGTTTTTCTTATTCTTCTGACACCAGTTGTTACGTTATTTTCTTCCTTTATGTTTTTCGTACGGGGTTTGTGTGGATTTGGAGTGAATAACGACGACACTTGATGAAGTATCGAAACACACTTTATTAGCCAGTATTAACCAGATAGCTTCAAAATCACTTTTTACAATCGTCGATCAACTACTATAAACACGCTGGAACAATCAGCGACACAGCCTTCAAGTTATCAGGATATCACGGTGGAGACAGCTTCCTGCAAAGCACCCGACTCTGCTTGGTCATTCTCGGAACTCAACGTACTCTCAAGTCTCTCCACGCTACAACTCGCAATGCACTCGACAATACACAGAGTACGGCTCCCGACTCTTCGGTTCAGTCGTTCCCGGAGCTCAACACGTTCTTTAGATGATGCACTAACCGAGAAACTAACTAAGAGACTCCTTCGGTGAACTCGACGACCCACTCAGTTCATTACATATATAGTTATCGTGATTAATCTTGAAGGATGCCATGTTCTATATAAAACTTGAGTAGATAAGTTTATCCTTTATCACACTCATCAAAAAACGCAATTATTACGCAAAACGCTCAGATACTCAACTGTTACTACTCTCAAGAAGTCAGTTTTACTTTTCCCCATCAAATTTTGAAGATTTTCAAGGAAAGATAGATATCACCAAATTGCAAAGGGATTTTTGATACATGAAATTTCCGAAAATTCAAAGAAATTAAACTACACCAAGCACTGTAAATATTCCAAATAATGGCTATATCACCCAAAGAAATGTACTAAAACCAGCGCAAAATGAGTGAAAAATACTGAATTACTAATCTTTCGAAGATCGGGCAAGGTGGGGGAATAAAATATGTACATAAAAATTCTTTCTCAGAAATGAATGTGTTTATGGGCATTCTCCTGCATTTCCTAAACAAGAACATGCGCTTGCGATTTTTCAATTACCAGATATCAAGGTAGCGATATTGCATTGCACTTATTTTATTACTTTTCCCCCTATTATCACGCATTTTCCTAACTATAAAGTTAATTCATAAACCTCGATAATATATTTTTAGCCCAAAGAGCTATTAATTTCGTTTTGGCATTTTGCATCGAAAACTTTAAACGTCCGTTTCACTTTTCGAATTGTTTGTTGCCACCAAATATTATCATCCTGTGTTATATTTAAAGAAATTAAATAATGAAGAATTTGCATAAATGTACATATGTTTCTCGAATTGTGATAAAACAACGGCAACTACAGCTATCCAGTTTTGAATAACGTAATCTTCCACCGAGTATCTGGAAACCCTAATTTGGAATTTGTTTTATTATCGATTTCATATTTTGTAACGCTTTAACTAATTTTTGATTAATAAACTCAACAATTTCAAAGCGAGCAGTGGCAACACTGTATGAAGAAAAATATTTTTATCTCCAGCGCGCGAGACTGTGTATCGGAAATTCTAAAGATATGCTTATTTTAAAATTATTTTGCGATATTAGTGTTGAATTTTTATGGTTTAAGCGTGAAGAACATGATATTTAATAAATAAAGAGAATACACAAAACGTTAAAAAGGAGCTCCTTTGGGCGTAATGTGAAATCTGGCGTAATGCTTATAAATATTAATTGGTAGCTTTCAGATTTTTTGTTTTAAGATTTTTTATTTTATATTTTGTAAAACATACAAATTTTATTTCTTGTAAAATAAAAACGCAGTTCACTGAGAAAATTGATCCTTAACATTGAAATTTTTAAAATGATTGTTTATTTCAGTTATTTTCATGATGCTCTGGTTACCTCCAGCGACCTGAAACTAGCCGGCGAATCTGAGAAACCGTCTCCTTACGTCCGCCATCACAGTATCAAGAACCAAACAACCATCCATATACCCGTCGAAGGAACGGAACCCCACGGCCACGCGGTTGCCGGAATTTGCGTCAACCAAGCCGGTGTTGATTCCTCCCAGTCGCCGTCGACGACATCTGGTTCACAGCACCAAAAAAATTACTCAGTCAGGAACGTCAGAAACAATGCCGTTGACATTGGTTCGTCCTTCACAAAGCCGTAAGTAGGGCAAAAAATAGAGAACATTTTTGTATCAAATGAAAATGCAAAATCTAATATTCTTTTGCTGATTCCGCTTTTTAACATTCTTAGAGTAACATTGTTAAAAATGTTTCTAGCAGTCTTGTTACTGTTATTTTTATTATTTTTACGCTTAATATTGCAGATAAGTCATATGAATTATTTATTTATCGTCCTTCTGAGGTAATAAGAGCAGTGACGTAAATTTTTAAATATCGGATTTTGTAATTTAATTGATTATTATTTTTTTTTCATTTGAAACCTTATCTTTTTAAAAAGAAAACTAAAATAATAATAACCATTATTGTTACTAAATGGCTGAATATTTCCTTAATTAAATCAATCAGGATTATATTTACTAATGAATACTTTGTTCTTGCTCTAATATGACAAAGCAATCAAAATAAAAATGTGTAAACTTAAGGCAAAATTTGGTGCAAGTTTATTAATTAATCGATGTTATTCGAATAAAATAGTACCTTTTTTAAAACTCTAATTCCTCTTCTCGTGTTCCACAAAGTATACCATGAGACTTACCCAAATAAGTCATACACTAGCAAAATAAATAAACAAAGGAGCAATAGCACTGCAAAGAGGGAAAAAGAAGATTGAGGAATTAAAAAAAATTAAATAAAATTAAAAAAATTCAATAATCTAAATTGAGAATGAAATTTCAAAAAGCAGAAATTGTCTCTTTAGTCTGCAGAAGTTTAAAAAAATTGGTAGTAGGCTATCAGACAGGTGTTTCGAAGTGGCCTGAAGCATCTATCTTTACTGGACATGATAACTCGCTCAAGAACAATATGGTTAACATTTTCATCACCGGCTTCCTCAGTTACACAGAGCACTTGAAGCAAGTTCAAGTAGCTTTAAATAGCTCTTAAAACTGCCATGTCCTGACAAAATTTGAGTTAATTTAAAATCTGCTGAAAATTGGTCAACTTGTATTCTGTGAAAAACTGTTAGGAAAACCTTTCTGCCCATTGTGCTTTTGATAATGCAAGATATTCTCAGTTCCAAGTATACAACTTAGCATCATTCCGAGAAAAGAGCTTCCAGCACGAAATTGGAACACGAAGATTAAAAAACTGTACCGAAAATTTTTATTCATTTATTTTCCGCAATAAGTTTTAATGCTTATTTCTTAAATTTTTCAAAGGAGATCTTTTGGAGGTGTTTATTGTTTTTATTTCGGAGATTTATTGCCTCGGCTAAATTGAAAGTATCCCCAGTAGAAAGGATTACATGTTACAAACCTCGTGCGTAAGCGATCCAGTGAAATAAATGCACAGCTACGTCTTGAATGATTAAGTATTTCCATTACTAAATTGGTACTCAATTTCCAAGAGGCTTTAATTTATGATAAAATGGCAATGTGGTAGTTTTCTTTTCGTATCGTTTGTTTTTAGATATTTTGAATATAAAATTTCGTATTCTGTAAATTTAATATTTGAGAAAGTAATTCATCTGAGATAGCTCTAAGTTAATCAGGCCTATTATAACTATTTAGCTTAAAATTGTTTTAAGGGCCGAATTGATATCCAGATACTAAGGCAAGGCTGCAGTGTCTTTTAACGCTTAAAACTTGTGTATTTTTTAATTTTTTTAAATAATTTTCTTTGTTGCTTTAAGATCTAATTAAGATAATTCCTGATTGAAATTTTTATTCTATGTGCACGTCTACTATTTACTTATTTATTTATTATGAACAGACATCATCTACCAGATAGTCCACCAGACTCGGGTTCAGAGCCACCATTTTCGCCTCCGAATGAAGGTAAGAATAATTAGTAATTCTGTTTTTATACATTATTTAAATATACAATAATATTAAAACTATAAAAAAATTATTTTATATTATAATGACCTCATCAGAACTCAGAGCCAGTCGTTCATTTCTTCATCATACTTTCATTACATTTTGTTTTTATACGCCTTACACATTTGAAAGATCAGTGCCTGTTAGTTTTAATTTAGGTTTTTCTCGTCAGTTACATTATTCTCACCTAAAGTCAACGGACATTTTTTTTTCCTGTTTAATTTTGTGCTTTATTACCTTTCGTATTCTGTTTGTTTTATAGATTAACGCAGTATATTGATTTAGTTTACCTGGATTTAGGTCATGTTTGTACCCCATATAGTTTCCCTTTATTTTATTTATTACTTTGCATGCTTTTAAATAAACGTGTGAATTTCAGTACTCTCTGTTTCTAGGTAAACAGATTTGTTCATATTGAATTCATATAAATCTCTGTACCAAATCAATGAAAAGTTGCATTTCAGAAAGTGATTGAAATACATTATTGTTTTTAATCTCATGCCTAAATATAACATGGTTCTGGGAAGCTTGTTTCATGAATCTTTTTATGTTTTGTGAGCACACATATTCGTCCAACATTTATTTGTAATATTTCCTTATATTTATCACGGAGTTATATATCCATCTATGTGCGTGCTTATAAATATTAGTATTCTTCTTTTGCTGAAGTTATGCTTCACTGAATTAAGGTATTCGAATATTTTTGCTGCCATTGTTTTACCAAAATTAACAATAATAAATTAAATTTAAAGGGATAAATACAATAAAATCCTAAAGCTTTCAGATTTTATATTACGCCCAAAAGGCGTTTTTTAATTTTTAACGCTTTTTTAACGTTTTTTAACGCTTTCTTTGTTACCCTTATTTATTAAATATCATGTTCTTCGCGCTTAAACCATAAAAATTCAACAGCAATATCGCAAAGTAATTTTAAAATGAGCATATCATTAGAATTTCCAATACACAGTCTCGCGCGCTGGAGATAAAAGTGTTTTTCTTCATACAGTGTTGCCACTGCTCGCTTTGAAATAGTTGAGTTTGTTAATCAAAAATTATTTAAAGCATTACAAAATATGAAATCGATCAGTTTGAATGAAGACTTTCGAAAAGTTATTTCACTATAAATCTGCTTCAATATTTTGTAGTTTCCGATGCGCATTTTCCTACCCTAAATGAAAACTAATAGTAACGCCTTGCTCAACAACGATTTTCATGCAATGGCAATTCAAACAACAATTTTCCCGATATACCTGTGTCAATGTATCATAGGTACCTGAAAGACTACGCTATGTAACTGAACTTAAAGGATTTCTCATAACACGGAGATGAGGCAGCAATTCAATTCAGCAATAATGACGTATATCAGCTGCTCTTGTGGGTTCTCTTACGCATCTGTCTTCTAGTATTTGAGTTCTATCCCATGATCACATGAAAAAAGGCGAGAAATCAATCTTTCCATGTGTGAAACAATTTCTGAGAAAGAAAAATCTTATATAAGCTTTCAAGTTTCTTAAGTATCTAGAAAAACGGCGTTAAATTAACTTTAAATTCTTGTAGATTCCTAATTGTTTTGCTGTTTTTCAAGTAATGTTCTTCTGAGTAGTTTCCAAGCAATTAAAAAACAATTTGGAGTTTTTGAGGTTAACACTGAAGTAAATAATCAATCCCGAAATGCCGTCATATAAGCTTTCATAATCATTTTTTCTAAATAGCATATTAAAATAGCAAAATAGAGCATTTTTAATGCTGATGAAGCAAAATATCATTTCTAACTGTAGTTCATTACTCCTAGCAAACTCTAAAGGTGAAGCATTTAAAATTTGGAATTAATGACCCATTTTACAATTTCTTGAAGATTTCTGTTTACGTTTTCATTCATTAACAGATCCGAAGCTAAGGTGCCCATCTATCGATCTCCTTCATCAGCATCCACGTCATTCTCATCACAGTCATCATCATTTGTCAGACATGTCTGTCCATGCTTCGGTAGCTCCAGAGGGCTTGAAGCATCAGTACATAAACTACGGTCACACTTTACCATTGAAGCATGTTCCTGATGCGTCGATTTCCTCATCAACTTCTCCTACATCATCCTCGTCCTCCCCACATCACATCCGTCATCATTCTGTAAGTAAAATCTCTCTGACTCTCTTTTTTTTTAACTCATTTTAATCTGGGTTAGAAAACTTTTTTTTTAACCTTCACAAAGATCTCATCCTATTCACGGTAATTCTGAAAGGATTTACGAGTAGAATAGTATCTCATAAGCAATCTATCAATATATCATAAGCAATCAGTTTCTTTCTTAAAATTCTATTTTCAATAACGCTACTGAAATTCAGCAATTCTGAAAGGAGTTTCAAAAATATGATATAAAGAAATATTGTAAAATACAATATAGAAATAGTTTCATCTATAATAATAAGGAAAATTCAAATTTGTTGATGTTAGAAACAGAGTGAGGCTAGCTTTTCCGGTTCTTGTATCATTTTAATTATGTCTCTACAGCATTTACCGTCCCAGTAGCCTTGCAAATTGTCAGTTTTTACAGCTTTTCTAGTCAATAATTATATGTCTTTCACACAATAACTAACTGAGTGATTTAAGAACAGCATGTGTAGTTCTTAATAACTGCGATGGCATTCAATTTTTCCTATTGTGTTACGGTGTGCTATTGCATTCTTAGTTACCCAGGGAGGTGTAGAAATTGCCAGTCATCAAAGCAAATGACAATCTTGCGGCAGAAAATTTCGAAACTTTCAAACTATAAAGCTATATTGTAAATCACTATTAAAATTGAACGATTAAAAAACTATTAAATTCTTAGCCATTGTGCTTATTTTTTAAGTAATATATGTCTTTCATATAATTTATAATACATCTAAATGTTAACATTATGAATATTTGCCCAGTTATTTTAATTAATAAAAGATGTCTGTAAGGTCATACGCATGTAATGAATTCGGCTACGGAATGCTCTTTGCCGAATGAGTTTGGTATAATTTATATAATCTTTATTTTTACTTTTTAAATTGCAGGAATTCCTTGCTTATGAAGAGAAATATATAATTTATAATATTATATAAACTATTAATATCAGTTTAATAATAAATAAAAATATATAAATGGAAAAATATTTTTCTATATTTTTTAATTTATGTGAACGTTGATTACGTTAATTACGTTGTTAATTACGTTGACTGCCGTACTGAAGGGCCCGGGTTCGAATCCCGGAGAAGTCATGGATGTTTGTAAATGTATAATTTCTATGCGGCATGGGGCACTCTAAATATGCGGTGATTCGAAAGTCCTCTCGAGAGGTTGGTGGTACAGAAAGAGGATGGGGAGACCCTCGGACACATCCCCCCCCGGGATTCCCTCCATCAGAACTGTGGGCAGAACTGAGTAAAGTCGTACTGTCACCTGTGTGTTGCTCAAGAATCTTGCCAAAGACAGGTGAAATTTTACACGCCTTGCCACGATGAATTTCGTGAACTTGTTCTGATGGTACTGTCAGACAACTGAGATAAGTCACAACAAAACAATTTTCTTTTGGTAGAAAGAAAAAATTTAAAGTGGACATCGCAAGACGTTCTTGTTTCTCTGAATTATTCTAACTTAACCGATCCTTCAACGCAAGTTGAACATGACATGAAAAATTACGAAGTTTGATATTAAATATAACTGTTAATTTTTGTTTTACAGCAGTCAAACTTCTTGTAGTTTTGTTTTTTCATAACGAGTTCAAAACTTCCCCAAATATGAGTATAGAAACTGGGACACCGCATTAAGAGTTAGATTTAGTTATTTTTCCAAAACTAACATTTTTTTTTTTAATTTGACATCAGCAAAATAAGAATATTTTCATCATTTAAAACACTTCTGTTGTAGAGACATTAGGTATTTTTTTGAAAGCAGACAAGATGAAAAATAGCAAACGCCTTCGCCGGGAATCGAACCACGGACCTCTGGAATACCGGCCCAGCGTGCAGAACCACTACACCACGAAGGATGCTAGGAAAGTGGAAGAAATACCTTACACTGTAACTGAAAGTATATGTCTAGGACCAACGGCAGCGGAAGTAATGGCCGGGAAAGAACTTTCAAGCCGGGTAAGAAGAATGAATCTATAGATATATACTGCTGATATTTCCGGGTGCAATAAAAAAAGGAAGGTGTATAGCAGTACCATATACAAAATTTCAACGTTCTATGATTAATAGTTTTTGAGTTATGCGAGATACGTACGTGCGTACAGACATCACGAAAAGTCCATTTGGAATCCATTTTACAATTCGTTTTGCAATAAACGATCTGTATGTCTGTCTTTAAGTATAGACGTCACTCAAAAAAGTAGTCAAAATGGTTTCGGCGATGGTCAAAATTGATATTTCCGTTGAAATCTTTAAAATTTGAAGAACTTTTTTGATAGTTTTAGCGAACTAAAATTGAGTAATTGCTAATTGTTGCACTTCAAACTGAAGTGGGCAGTATTGTCTTCTGTCTTGAGACTAACTTTTTATTAAATAACATTATTACAGTTAGTTAGTAGGGAAAAGGCACGGAAGTTTTAACAACCAAATTTCTTTTTCTGCTCTTGCATTCATTATTTATTCGATCTCTTCTAGCCTGTTCCTGCGAGTCCAATACCAGTTCATTCTACTCACTCAGCATCCATGCCCGTACTCGCAGCTAATTCCAGCAGTTCTCTAACTGGCCAACTGCTGACACAAATTCCACAATCACTGTTGTCTCCATTTGTTGGTAATCAATTGCAGCCCCAACTACTGACGCCATCCGGAACACACCTGGGTCATCTCTATGCAGGGTGAGTTTATGATGATATCTATCTTTTAATCTTACGCAAAATATGTAGCATTGTTAGCTATAGTTACATCATTTAGCGTATTGTATATCTCTGAATAATTAATTTCTTCAATAGAATGCAATAGTGCTGCCATATCCACAGATAATACGTTCCAGGGCCCACCAGCGGCCGAGCAGTAAAGTCGCTGAACACTGGTAGTTCGGTTCGAGGTTCGAATCCCGCGAACGGGCTGGCTGCATGGGTGTTTTCGTGGTTTTCCCCATGTGTAACGTATATACGAGCCAGTTTCCCTTAGAAAGTCCTCCACGAAAGGCATCCCTTCCCTTAGGCAGATAGCCCTAGTGTGCTTTGCCATAATTAAATACACACACATACACATACAATACGTTCCAGGACTTATTGGTAAAAATAATAGGAAAAACGAAAGCATATTGTACTCAAAATCTTTTCATTCAAAGGTTAATTTACATGCTGAAATGTATGATGCATTATTGTCAATGTCTTTATCGTATCAGAGAACTTTATATATTTTTGCAACTATTAATTAATGTCATTTAGAAATTCCCTTGAAACACAAAACGGATGCAGCACTAGCCCAGGTGTTAAGAACCTTCGCTGCTCAGAGTCACTTAGCTGTACAGCCTTATTTGCCATTCGTTTAGTTATTTAGAAATTACTACTTTTAAAATATTTAGTTTTAAATTTATCTAGACGGACGGAGATACGGTAAATTGTGGATGTGGCGGCACACTGTATTTATTCTGAGATGCAATTTATTAATTTTTACATTTATACTATTTAGTATATTTTTATAATTTCAATAACATTTTAATTTTCTGACAGATTTTTATATCTATAAATTTTTACATTTAAAATATCAAAGATATAATCTTGTAAATTTGTACAATTATGATTATACCTTAAATATCTATGATCGGGTTTAGATTCATATACAAACTTCAGAAGATTTGAATTTATTACAATTATTAAATTATTGCCTTTTATAACTAGTAGTCAGGTAGTCCTTCCATTCATGAAAACATGTCAAATAGCTTCATCCATAGAATCCTTCTATCCATAGAAAAGAACAAGCTGGAAATTAACAATGCTAAGGTAAAATTGATTTGGAAACTGTTTAAATCAAGTTAGTGCAGGCTTACGGCAACTTAAACCTGATTTTTCAGGAAAGACACAATACTCTCTGGCAATATTCAATAGATCGGCGTTTTTTGTGTGGCGTTTTACCAAACATAGTTCCACAAACTTCATATTTTTGGCAAATTTATGAAATTATCAAAGATATGTCCTAATAAATATGTTTACATGGTGTAATATGTAACAGAAAAAAACTGATGTGTACACCACATGACTTCCTTGTATGGAATATTAAATTATACGCATTTTTTCCTGCATTTTGTTTAAACTTATTGGATTGAATTAAATCTACTTCGCCGACAGCGCATAAACCACAATAGAATAAGTGCATTCTTTATAATTCACTCTATTTGTTTACCATAGCGACACTCTGGCGCTAGGTTCACTTAACAGTATTATATTTCGTTCACATTTTAACTCCGAATGCACAAAATTTATATCATATAAAGAATTATCTAATTGTTGCCACATGTTCTATCCAAATACTATAATAAAGCTAGAACGATGTATAAAAGAAATTAAGCAAACAAAACAAAAAAGAAACAGTTTCTCACAGACGATTGAGTATTTCTCATTCAATTAATTCAGTTCTCACTTCGCGATAAGGCAAAAATACATAAAAACTCAAAATATCTCTATTAAAAATTACTAATTATTAAAAATTAATTAAATCTTAAACACTTATTTCCTCGAAAAAATTCCAGAAAGGATTAAGCATGATTTAAATCGCAATAATAAATGAAGGCGTTTAACTTTGTTGTTGCGAAGCTACGTTTCTCTAGATTGGCAACAAATTCACTACTCTGCTGTTTCAAATGTAAACAAGCAATGGCCGCCATCAAAATAGGCTTAGCGGCATTTAAACAACTTTTAAATTGTTGATAATTCTAAAAATATTGCATACAGATTTACTAAAGGCATAAAAATCTTAACCGGAAGATAAAAACAACATAATTCAATCATTTTTAAAGCAAAAAATGTACAATTTACAAACATATAAGAGTAAAGAAACTGAGATCACTGAGCCGGGTAACAGAGTGGATATATTTATAAATATATTTATATACGTTTGGCGCGGCCGATTGAAACCAAAATACGAGGTGCACATCTACATGTTATAGTAGTCCTATATAGAAAATTTCAACGTTCTGAGGCTACTCGTTTTTGAGTTATGCGAGATACGTACGTATGTACATACGTTGGTACAGACGCCACGAAAAATTCTCTTCGGAATTCATTTTAAAGCAGTTTTTTTTTTTTTTTTTTTTTTTTTTGGAGGAAAAGAGTCTTTTATTCTGTCTTTACGTACAGATATCACGCAAAAACATCGTTAAATTGCATTCGATACGGGTCAAAATGGATATTTTCGTTGAAATATGCTGCCTGAAGCTTTTCGCCATTACAATACTTCCTTTTTGCTTCGCACAAGGAATTAAAAACAATATGATAATGTGTGTGTGTGCGTGATTATGGCAAAGCCTCGAGGGCTATCTGCCTAAGAGAAGGGATGCCTTCGTGGAGGACTTTCTAAGGGAAACTGGCTCGTATACACGTTACACATGGGGAAAACCACGAAAACGCCCATGCAGCCAGCCCGTTCGCGGGATTCGAACCTCGGACCGAACTACCAGTGTTCAGCGATTTTACCGCTCGGCCGCTGGTGAGCCACAATATGATAAAGCGGTTACATATAAATATACTGTTTTTGTCATTAAACAATCTTCTAATTTTATGCTTGAAATTATTTTGTGTGAATATACATTATTTCGTTTCGAAATCTTTAGAGGTCACAATAATATGACACTTTCTGTATTCTGGTTAAAGCCGGAAATTTTAATGTTCATCAGGAAACTTTGATAAGCACTACCGACTGTTGTTAAATATTGTCTAATACACGTTTAATAATTCGTTTTGTTCGAAAACGAACATTTATTTCGTTTTCTAAAAATTCAGCTTTATATCTATTAGTGGTTCACTTTCAGCGAATGAATCAAGAGCCATTTTGGGTGGATCGCAGAAACTTTTGAAGTTCTCTTTCGTACTGCATATTTACAAACATTAAAGTTTACAAATTAATCCATATTCATAACTTAATTGTTAACAGTAATATATATGTGTATTTATTATTGCTTATTAATAACATTATTTTCTTCTAGAAATCTCCTTTCCCCTCCCCCCACTTTATTTCAAATTAACTGTACATAGGTCACAGTAAATCGTAACTATAGACATGTGCTAAAGCTATTTTGAAATGATTTATGTATGTAAAAAGAAGAAAGTCTGTGTTTTTGTCCTCTAATAACTCAGTCACTACTACAGCTATCGTCGCCAAACTTTCTACGATTCTTTTCTGAGTCCTGGAAAAGGTCGACGTCCACTTTTTCCAAAAAAAAAGTACCTAAAATCAGAGATATTAATTAGAAACTCGGAAATTTGCTCTCATTTTTTCCGAGTGGCAAGTCTCGCAAGCTGGAGATGAAAATCTGCTTTATTTCGAAAGTTGTTGCCACTACTCGCTTTCAAATCCTAGAGTTTGTTAATAAAAAAAAATTAAGGTTTACAATGAAATAAAAATAGCATTGCCAAACATTAAATACATTATTCCCGATTCCAAAAATTTGTGGGAAGCTATTTCAACTATTCCCATCTTCGCACGACTTTAATCAGTCGAAATATTAATTAAAAACTCTGAAAGCGTTAATGTTTGCCCTCATTTTTCCGAGTGGCAACAGTCTCAGGCGTTGGAGATAAAAATGTTTTATTTCGTAAAGTGTTGCTACTGCTCGCTTTCAAATCGTAGAGTTTGTTAATAGAAAGTTTGTAAGTTTTACAAAACCCATACATATAAGGAAGAAAGCCTGTTTTTTTGCTCGCGTTATTGATTTCTGATCAATTACGATCAATTTTTTGCCGCATTTAATCAATTAAAATTGAATATAGGTGAAAAATTGAATGGAACTCGAGCTTTTACGACCATTTGATTAAAAAGACGAAAATCATTAAAAACTGCGTGCCATTGTTGCTGGTATTATGAGAGAGAATTAGCTTATAGATTCGAAACTTTTTATGTGTTAAATATCGCATCCGACTGAAAAATGTATGGCTATGAATCGTTCTTTTTGCATCGTTACTAGAGAAGGATTACAGCGGTATCGTTTTCTCTGTTGTTAGATACATTACCCTCTATTTAACTTAACTGGCGTCTTTCTCTGTTGTTAGATACATTACCCTGTATTTAACTTAACTGGTTTATATATGCGTTTTCTCAATACAAATTGAGCGCAAAAAATCCGAATACACCAAAATTAAAATGTATAGTAAACTTACCAGATGCTTGTGAATTCTGATCACTTTCAAAAGTTAGCTTGCTTAAAAGAATCTCAAGGCATTTCAATGAGAATTTTTTATTCCTTCTACAAAAGAAATAAATCTTACGAAATAAAAAGAGATTCACTTCTTATTACTAGTATTCTTGAGCATTTCAGCGATTTTCTTTGGTTAAAATTACCATTAAAATTTTTTTGAATAGTGAATAGTGAATACTTTTTTTGAATTTAAATGCATTACTTAAATAGCATACTTCATTGAATCATTCCTCTGTCTTTATAATCCCTGTTAATTTCCAATATATCGCTGTTTTTGCTTCTGAGGAAAGGAAACTACACTCATAGCAAGATCTTTCTTGAAACGAACTCAGAGACAAGATTTATCATAGCTAAAATGTGTGTGAGATGTTTTGCGCATAATTTTAGCAGAAGTATTTTTCTATGTTTCAGAAAAATTAATTAAAGAAAGAAAAAAATTGTGTCTGTTTTCATAGTTTGTTTCCTTAGATAAAAGAGATTCCTTAGATTTGTTGTCTTCTGTCAAAAACGGTGTCGTGGTTTGCCGATTAATAGTAATCATGATACATTATAATGTTTTTAATTGTATGTTGTAGGGGCGACGAATTTTTGTACGAAAATTTATCAAGTCCTGTCACATCAACAACAACGAATAACAAGAAACGGAAATTACCAGAGTCACCGAAACAACACAGAAATCATCATAATAGCAACGCGGTTCAAGTCAAAACGGAACCAAGTAAGTGACTTCTTATAAAGCTACTAACAATTATGTTAATAAGTCAACCTTCCCTTTTCCTTTCTTTTCTTTTCTTTCTCTCTCTTACCACTTTCTTTAAAGTTCTTTAAATGTTTGCTTCAAAATAAGATCATCTTTTTTTTTTTTTTTTTTTGTTGCGCCAAAGGTGTTCCTTCACCCGATCCGACGACGACGGTGCTGCCATCTGGTGAGGATGATTACAATTTCGATTTGAGTGCGGCCGATGCGAATGCCTTGTTCGTGGATTCTAGTTACCAGTGCATCCGATTCCAACCATTTCAGCAGAATACATGGGCGCAGCTGCTAGATAAGGACATGAAAGAAATGTAAGGATCCTGTTTTAAAGAATAAGAAAAATGAAACAATTTACAGTTTTTTTATTAGAATTTCATAGCCACTGCTTTACATCAGAGGTCCAAATTTTATTAAACTACTCATGAAATATAACTTATGGAATATGGAGTATAAAAATAAATGCATATATTAGTAAAAAGAACCAAGCATTAAGACCTATACTGAATACTTAAATAAAATAATTAGTGAATTTTTTAGAATGTTATTTAAATTTTGGCACCGGGGTTTTTCAACTGATAATTTCCTCTTTTGAGGCAGGAATTTTACGACCGGAGGTGATTGTTCGATCTCAAAATGATTGCTTCAAACTATACTAAAAAGCCGAATGCAAAGAATGTTTAAGGTATGATCGAAATCACGAAACTTGAAAGGGTTTTAAAATGTTAAATTTAGGCATTAGCTAAGTGCCATGAAAGCAATAGAAGCATTTCTTTTATTATATTCATTAAACATGATAATAATTTATAAATTAATAAGGATATAAATAATTCATATTTATTAAATACAATAAACCTTAAATTTATATGTATCTTTATAGGATGTTGAAATAAAATTTTTTAAACTTCAATGTTACTTATTATTTCAAATGCATAACTTAAATAACATTAAAAATCTCCTTAAGGGGGGATTCTGATGCATAATGAAAACGGAGAACAGAGTAATAAAGTTTGAGAATACCTATAATCGCAATCAATAATATCATAATGGATCGTTTCTAGAATATCATAATGTCAGCATGGGAAATAGTGTTTAATGTTAACAGATTTAGCAACAGATGCGAAGCGTTTTTATTCTTTATAATTTAACTTTAACTTAACGCTTTATAATTTTATAAGCATTTCACACACATTAAGAAAGTATTTCTGAAAAAATATTTGAATTTTCTTTTATTTATTTTTTTCACTGATGTATGATGTATAAGTATGTCTAATGTATCCTGATGTAATTAACTTGTGAACATTGAGATTTGCATTTAGATCTTCATATTCAGCAGGAAATATAGAAAGAGCTTTTCCCACAGAAATCATCAGTTTTTAATTTAATTAGCTGTTATCTTAACTTAGAAGTGGGAAAAGAGCATATGTGTGTGTGAGCGAGAGAGAGGACAAAAATGGAAAAAGCTTTACGTACCTTACAAAGTATGAGGGAAGAAAGAAGCTATAAGGATTTAAGGAATTTTTAACTTTTGACGGTAGCATAAAAATAATCAACTTTTTTTTTTTTTTTTTTTTTTTCATGTTGTTAAAGAGGAGAAGAGTTTTTGAATGATTATTAGCATTTTTATTAAAAAAGCTCCATATTTTTAACGCATTATCCTTAATTGAATTCCTTCGTCATTTTAAAATGTAAGTTTCACGAATGTCATTACTATTATTATAAAATAGGGTTATATGTATTAAATAACAGCAACTGAATCAGTACATAATTATTAAAATTTAAATCGTAAAATTATATTATAAAATTTTATTAGATGTAAAAAAACGTCTATATTCGCAAATCGCATAAAATAGAAGTCTTACATGCGTGAGAGTTTTATTCATAAATCTTAGCAAAAAGTTACCTGCAATGATATTCTGTGACTGGAAATAATCGAAATTTTTGCCAATAGCGCATTGGAAGAAATAACATTTTTAATGTTAAAACTATAGTCACTTTCAGGAAATCATTAATAGGACAGAAAAGGTCTTGTTCGGAATGATTAACGCTTGAATTGTGAGCTGGTTTATAGATTAATCTTCTATAATGCTCCTAACAAACGGAGGAGTTAAGAACGAAAGCTTCGTCAAAGCAGGCTTCGAAAGCTTTGTCAGATTGCACACGAAACAATATACTCCAAGTTTACTTCACAGAGGCTATCAATCCAGCCTTAATACCTTTTAGCGCATGCGCGAAATAGCCGTTGAACTGGTGTCGAAGCAGTTCCAGCCTTAAGTAACTTATTGCGCACGCTCTGAATAATTGTTGAGCTAGTACTGCAGGTCCAAGGTATATTTGTTATGAGTTCAAAGTTCTATAACAGCATTTTTACCCCTTGCCGTATCGACGTAAATCAAATCATTGCTTCGTGCAAGTAGGTTAATTAATGGATTATTTATTTTGAATAACAAAATCTGAGTTTAAATTTCGCAAAAAGTTTTGCCAAAGAACGATGTAAATCCTTTAAGTTTTTTGCTTTTGCGCAGTATTCCTCAATTTCCTGTACACCTGGCGATTTGAGCGACGAGAATTTCCACGATGTAGCAGCACGATAGTCAGACTGGCTTACACTATGTCTATGGAAGCTTTCCTTCTTTACATACACGTTCTTTGTAAAAAACTGTTGTTTGAAAATCATACATCTGAATTTTGTAGGTGGGTTTACAAAAATATTTCTATCATTTCATCTTTAATAAAAAAAAAAATTTCCGTTTTTAGTTCTTCTCCGAACTTCCGTGTGGATGCGGACAAGGGCTTCAACTACAGCAATGCCGATGAATCCTTCGTATGTCAGAAAAAAAATCATTTTCAAGTAACAGTGCATGTCCAACCTCTGGCGGAAGCTCACTACGTCCGGACGCCAGAAGGAACTAAACCCATCGAAAAGTTCTCTCTCCATTTCCATGGAGTGAAAGTAAGTCTGTTACTATTAGTTATGCACCAGTTCTTACAGCTCTCTGAAAAGTTAAACAGAACACTAAGTAAAAACTACGATATAGCTAAGTAGAAACAACAGTATAGTTTTTAAACGTATCGTACATTCTATTCACTTTTTTCTTCAAATATCTCATTAGCTTAGAATGATTTAGGAACACATATTTGTTCAGCTGTTATTATATGCGAGCGCTACTTTAAGAATCGCATTATACAGCAGCCTTCTTAGATCTGTCTAGCCAATGTACTCCAAATAGAACAAACATATTTCTATGTTATTATGCATTCACATTCTGTAAAATATCCTCTCAAAGCCAGAAAAAGCAATTAAAAGCCATGCAATATTGGATGAGCAAAATTAAAATAGGAAAATATTGGCAAATAACAACGCTGGACTATATCAGCGATATTTACAAGAATTTCTTTCAGTTCTTTGTTATACTTCTGTTCTAAATCTCGAATGAAATTTTAATTTGAACATTATTAAAATACTTTTAATGGAAGTGTTATTAAAATACTAGGAAGATTTATTGGATGTCTCGTTCAAATGCTTCATAATATAAAAATATAAAATATTGACTCGGTAAGATTTTATTGACTCTCATTGGCTATCAATGAAACTAAGAACTGAGAACTTACTAAGAAGTAGACTAAACACTAGCTAAGACTAGACACTAAAAACTAGATACTAAAGACTTAAGAACTTTACGATATATTACTTCACCAATTTATGCCTCCCCTTGTTTAGTAAAAACAAAATCGCAGTTTTTTATTTGCAGGTCAATTCATTTATTACATTAGTACTTTTCATTCTTAAAAAATGTTCATCTGTATCTAATTGGTTTTCTATATGTAATGCTCTTTTTTTCCTAGATGGAATCACCTACTCAGTTAATAAAAGTGGAACAGTCACAATCAGACAGAAGTAAACGACCTTTCCATCCAGTACCGTAAGTATTGCCACTTTAGATTCAAACTTTCAGGTTTATTACGTTATATTACACAGTTTGGATTTTGTAAAAACTGAAAATATTTGTTGAGATATTAAAAACATATTCTCTGTTAAATCCACATCTATTAAAATGGATGTTTTATTTTGTCCTCATTACAAGTCTACGTATTTTTATGTACGCAAATCTAAGTACTCCATTTAAAACAAATATATTGTTAAGTTTTTCTTACGGTACGGGGTGTTTGTGGATTTGGAGTGATTAACAACAACACTTGATGAAGGACGTAAATACAATTTATTAGCTAGTATTACTCAGAACAGCTTCACCAACTAGAACGATTCGATGCACTCGATGCACTAGAACTCGATGCACTCGATGCACTAGAACGTTTACAGCTGTCGAAACTGCAAACAAGCTGAAACAATCAATACCACAGCTTTCAGGCTATCAGGTTATAACGGTGAAGACAGCTTCAGGGCAAAGCACCAGAGAACAGCTCCCAACTCAGTTCAGTCGTTCTCGGAACTCTACGTATTCTCGAGACTCTCCATGCTACAGCTCGCGAAGCACTAGACGGTACACTCGATAGCCTCAACGATGCACCCTCTCGATGCACCAACTAGAACGATTCGATGCACTCGATGCACTAGAACTCGATGCACCAACGACTGACGATGAACTCGGAGGGCTAAGCACTGAATGGCTGACTGACTTTTTGCGTACCAGCAAGGTTTATAAAGCTTTTGGCTTGTGTTCGAGAACATTCTGGGCCAAACCGGTAAGAACTTTCGTTCCAGAAGGTTCTCCATCCGTCTGTGGCATATCGTCAATTTTGTAGCCAAACAGGCGATTTCTCGCCAAATATGGCAACCCTGTCTTTCCTTATCCTTTTTCTGACAACCCTAAACTTTGCGGGGAAGCTATATTACCGCGGCTAGATGTTTCGTAACAATATGAAAGCTTGCATTATATGATCCTAACCGTGTAGGAATTAAATCAAAATCCTTTGTATTTTTCAGTATTTTTTAAAAATTAAGTTCAGTGTTTTTTTTAAATTAAGAAAACAAATACAAACCTCTTCAAACTCGACTCTACAGAGTGGTTTATTTAAGCTAGCTCAGTAGTTGAATGCCCGTTTTAAGTCGGCTAGCAAATATCTAAAAGTCGGGATATACTCTGGCAGGACTGGACGACCAAAACTGCAGGTCAAAAGTTCTAATACTAAAACTTTCAAAAACCCTCGATTTTAGCACTCAGCCAACTAATTTGTATCCTGGTGAGGACTATGGAAAAGGAGACATTATAATAAAGATTTAAATCATAATAATTTGTTAATTAACATACAATACTCTACAACATATGACATTTCAAATTTTGACAACGACTTTTAGCTTTTTTCACAAAATGGGCAAATGTTTGAATCAAGTCAGTATTTGATGGTCTGTTTCTAAATATTGATTATTAGCTACTTATTTTAAGTTTTAAACACTGTTTTCAGATAAATAATGTTTTAAGGACTTTCTTTGGGACGACTAGATTTTGGTTCCAGACAAGTCATTGTCATCCGTTTGTGACTGATTTACAAAATATTCATTAAAATGAATTTCAAATACTTTTTAAAGAAAATGGCAGTTGTGCTTGGCTTTTGTTAAATCTGTAATTATGCACATGGAGTTCTGAAAAGAACAAGTTTTAGTAAGTTGTATGCTTTTGATTTAATATTTTTAATCAAAGTAGTAATCTTCTCTTTCCTTTTCCTTAAAGCAATTACAGCATAATAATACATATGCTTTTAAATATGTCACAGGTTGTTAAAACATCTAAAAAGTATGTATTTAAGTTCATCTTTATTTAAAACGAAACAGAGCATGCGCAGCGAAACACTTGCAATACGGTTCGTAACATCTTTAATAAATTGAGTAAAATTGATTTAAATTTTTATTTTCTTCTTCTTCATAGTTGCTGTCTTAAAAATATAAAATATAATAATAATTATTATTACAGTTATGTAATTATTGTTAATGTAGTTGTGAAATTTCCTTACTGAACGTTTTCTGCCAGACTCAGCGTAGACTTCTCTTTCCTAGACTAGAAATGGTGACTGATCAAGTAACGAAGACAACAGTTGGCCGACTACATTTTAGCGAAACTACATCCAACAATATGAGGAAAAAGGGCAAACCTAATCCTGATCAGAGGTTTTTTTTCTTGGTGGTAAGCCTATGTGCTCACGTGGCTGGAGATGTACCAATCACGGTTGTGGCTCATGCATCAGAGAAGATAATAGTGAGAGTAAGTTTCGATTTCGCGTAACTTGCTAACACAGCGAACTTTCAGTTTCCAAAAAAAAAAAAAAAAGTGCTTTCCAAGTAACGAGCAATGTATTTTACTTTTTGATTATATGTTATTACTAACTGTCATTTTGCTGTATTTATACTTTTATAAAATTATTTATTATAAGTTGAAATGTTCTGCAATATTTAACAATAGAAAACGATAGATTTTTGTACCTTAGATATTTGCTATTTATCTATGAATTTTATTTTACAATGTGATTTAACGCTACGATTTATAACTTTTAATTTATTATACCATAAGGTATTTTCTCCCTGCTTTTTGCATGCTTTCGTGGTGTAACTGGAAGCATACTTGACGCATATTTGACAGGGCCAGGGCTCGCGTCTCGGCGAGGTCATTGCACATTTTTCCAGCGTCCATCATCAAACTCCCTAGTGATTCTTCAGCATCATGCAATTCTTTTTCTTATTTACCGCTATTTACCTCTCCAGGGGGTCAAGAATGTACCGTTCTACGTGAAGTCAGCTGGTTAACGGTACTGCAAATTACATGCAGTATGTAGGGAAACCGTAATAATACAGCAAATAGAACAACATGTTTAGTTGCAATTTCTGGTGGCATTTTAAACCCTTTTTACATTATATAAAATTCGGTAAATTGAATCAGTGTATCGTGGATATGTATCAAGAATAAGGTTAATATTTTACAATAAAATGATAGAATTCGTTTATTAAAGCATAGCAACAGTTATAATATCTGCATGAGAATTTTATTATAAAATAGTTTTAGCCAAACTCTAGAAAGCTTCATTACAGTGATAGATTTTCCTTCACAAATTCTTATACTTAAATTTCTGAGAACAGATTTAAAGGTGAAAGTTGAAACTTTTAAATTGTTGTACTATATGATTATTTTTGCTTAAGCTTCGCCAGGAATTTTAGCTTAAGGAATTTATTATTTAAAATATTTGCGCTGAAAACGAATAATACACCACACCGAAATCTCAATAACACACAGATCTCAATAACACACAGATCTCAATAACACACAGATCAGTTAGCCCTTATATTGACTCAAATTTCCTATTTTAAATTTATTTTTTAACTTATAACTGAGTTGCGTATTACAGCGGCATTCACTCTAATTCCAACCAAGTAAAAAATAAAGTTCTCTGTTATTTCCACATAAAAAATTCAAATATAACATGCTCGCATCATTAGATTTAATTTTATTTTTGTTAAACAATTTCTTATGCTGTTACTATTTTATCGACTGCGTCACGCTTTTTCCAGGTATCTAGGCAAAGTAACTCGCTTTAAAGTTACTCGTTAATGGTAAGAATTACCAATATGCCTCCTTACAAACGCAATCAAAAGCTGGTACAGAAAGCACTATTTTACTGAGTCACAACCAGAATGACCATGAATTCTTTAGGGAAGTAATTCTAGGCCACATGAATCGACAGCTGGTCTGTTACTCTATTATCCCTCGGAAACATCTTCTGTTGTACATTGGAGTTATCATCATTCTTACTAAGACCTCACTTTCGTCATTGCCCACAGGCAAGGTATAACCAAAAAAGAGTAAAAACGAGGCTCTCCTCAGAACTCATGTGCCCGCTATATACTGTAGAACATCACTTTTAATTCTATATTAACTGCCAGCTGACCAGACTAGGTATACCTTATCGCATTTGCGGACGACATGTCACTTCTCGTCAAAGGGCGTACTCGGGACGAACTCGAACAAAGAAGTACAACATCTGCAGTCAGTTTACAGCCATATGTCATAACCTCAAACTGCAGAGCTCTGCAGAGAAATCAAGGGTCCTGATAATTTCTAAGCTTCGTACTAACCCCACATGAAACCCGTGCATCATGCTTAAGGGGAAAACATTAAGACCGTACCGGAATTAAAATTTCTGGGTCTTATATGGAATAAAGGAACTGATGCGTATCCTTTACGTACAATACTTAACTAAAACTGAAACCATAGCACTTAAGGCTCGCCATTTACAAGGAGCGATTATCAGGACAAAACTCCCCCATTTGTAAAATTCTCTACATCACTGTTGTTGAGAAGACCATCCTTTATGCAGCTGCTGTCTGGGCTCAGCCAATCAGGGGCCGGAAACAGAAACATCTGCTCAAAATCAGTCCGTTTGCTAAAAAACCTATGCAAGGCATACACGACATCAGCTAGCAATTCTGACATTATCCTCGCAGGATTGATTCTGCTTTGAGTAGAAAAAGAGGCCGCTTACACCATGGTCATACAGCTGAGAGAGGATGCCAGTTTCCATAATGTAACATTCAGACCAGTACAGTGTTAATAGTACAGTATAAACCCTATACTCTCACGCACCCAGGGCTTAAGGGCTGGGATACACATGTTAAGATCAATAGCAATCGGCACCATCAACACACACAAAGAGTAGAGCTTACCATTCTTACAGATCGTTCCAAGACCTTTAACAGAGTAGGCAGCGCCTTTGTTTGGCTCGTTTGCGAACGTACAACTCACACTTGGAAGCGTTATCTACAAACCTGGAACAGCTTTTTCTAGCCAGAAACGCAAGACATAATTGCGGCTATTGAATACCTGCTGGCTTCTCCCTTTCCTTCAATCACTATTTACTCAGACAACATGTTTTCTACACTTCTGGCGTTGCTAATTTTTCATCTTGCCTGGTTCCTAAATACCTAATGTCTCTACAATCTTACTAAATAAAGGACTTGATAGTACATTTTAATATATGGGTGTGAGTTGTGTCTCTAAGAGGTCTCGTTCATACAACTAAACATTATTCATTTCTTAATTTTAATTTAAACCTTTGTGAACCGTTGTCACGTATATATGTCAGATTCCAGTGCACGTTAATAAAACATAAAAAGTTTATTTGCAGTGAAAGAAATTTTAAGGTGAACGCATGTTTTCGTTTTTAAGAGAAACTTTTATTATGTTAATAATAAACAATGGATGTAATATGTATTTCTTTTTCACAACCTTCAGAAAATGGAAATTTGTTTTGAATGAAGCATGAACAATTGTTCCTGCAATATACATAAAATATTGCCCTTTCCTTTTAAAATATTGCAGTATGGGCTTCTCATCTGGAACAGGTGTTTAAATGTTCTAGGTTTTTTTTAGACTCTTTCATACGGTTGCTTTTCAAAGAAAAAGGTTTCTGCATTATAATTTAGTATTCTAGTCCTTCAGATTGAAAGGAAGCTTAACAAAACAGCTTTGCAGTTCGTAAAAGTAAGCATTATTTTTCGACCTCAGTATTGCCAACAAGGTACAAATTGTACTTATTTTAATAAAGTAACTAAGCACTAACGAAAGAAAAAAGAAGTACTTGTTGTTTGAAAATCATATTTCTTTTACGATTTTCTGTAAACCAGGCTTCGCAACAAAATTCTTTATCCCTTAAAGGTAAATTGTCTGCAAAACTCTACTTTTGCAGCGTAATACAAATGCGCGTACAAAGTTCTTGAACTTAAGTTTGTACAAAAACGAAAGTTAAATTTTTTTTTTTTTCCTGTGAATCTGGTCACAATTATGCAAGTGCTTAATTCTTTTGTAGAACTCGTCTTTTGGAATGCTGTTGAAGTCTCTAGTTACAATTTTCTGGACCTTTTCTGTACTATTAAAATACACTACTGGCTATTAAAATTGCTACACTATGAAAGCAGCATATAACAAACGTCACATTTGTATAAAAGGTATTACATGCTGGGATCTGGAAATAATTAGCATTTCAGCACATACACACAAAAAGCAGATATGATGAACGCTATCGACAGTGTGTATAAATATGAAGATTACACATCTGGTTTCTCATTCAGAAAACAAATTTGGACGTCGGTTATTTGTGTAAATGTCGTGCTATGCCTTAGGTAGAAAGGCTAAGCTCAAACTACCAGTACGCTTCAATATTCGGCCGCAGCAGGATCGTGGCTTATCAGGACTACGATTTATCGTTATACGACATTGCTGCTTATGTTGGTACCATGATCGTTGTCTGAATATGCTATCGATGAGTCCTGTAAAGTTATATCGAAAGCTATGCAGGATTTCAGAGGCCCCGGCCACTAACGCCCTAGAGAACAGAGCTATTGTCTTTCGGTCTTGTGGAATCGTACAGCCACGTCACGGACCCAGAATCAGAAACTTGATTCAAATGCAATATCGCAAGTGTCCGCATGGACAGCACTACTACTCTGCAGCTCCACGGACTATTAACACGAGGACCATTTTGAGGCTTTCTTTGATGCTGCAGTAGAGATAGGCGCGCCTCCATAGATGTGACGAAAGGCGACACTGGAACAGAAGTGGCACCTCGTTGTCTTTTCAGACAAATTCCTTTTCTCCATACAATATCATTATAGACATATCCCTGTGGGGAAGCATTGAGGGGGACGAACATTGCCAGTTTGCTTTAGTCATCGTCATACGGACTCAACAACTGGACTGTTGTATGGAGTACACTGGACACACATTTCGGGCACCTCTTGTTCTCATAGCCGGTAATGTGGCCAGCCGTCATTACAGTTTTAATGTGCTGTTGTCCTTGGCTGTGCGCTATATTTGAGGTTGATGTAACGCCTTTATTGACAAGATAATGCACCCTGGAATGTTGTCTATGCTGTCATGAATTTTCTCGATATAGAGGGTAGGCTTTTGGCCTGGCCAGCGCGTCCTCCAGACCTCTCACACGTTGACAACATTTGGTCTTTAGGATGTCAAAAAATTGGCACACCACCACTCTTCAGCCACGGCGATTGAGGAATTCTGGAACAGAGTTAAAGCCGCATGGAATGAAGTATCCCTGTCTATTATCCAAGCTCAGATGGATTACAGTCGTTTTTCCTGTTAGAAGTCGAAGCTGTATGTACTGAATTTCGTATACTGTCTACCTCAAACCACTTGTAAATTGAAGTATGTTTTCCTCGCATTATAGTGTAATAAATAAAATTCTACTATTTGCTTTAATTTCTGGTATACTAATTTGAATGGCCAGCAGGGTAATTATCTTTGAGGTTAGAATTAATTTTAGAGAGTAGAGAGTAATCTTCAAGCACCAAATCTGTCGAATAAGGAGGAAGGTTGAACACTGTGATCATCTGCTTGACTTATGTGATGGCGCATTATCATGCTGGATAACCCGTTATTTGATTAAATTTTCCAGCTCTAACGCTCTAAATTCGCTTCAGAATTCTGTCCGTTTTGTCTTTATAAAATATGGAGTTCACTTCAATCCCTCAGAAGCAAATTTCTTATGAATTATTCATTTTCATTCAGAAACGGTCTTCAACATTACCTTGACCCGAGATTTCTGATACCCACGTTTATGTGGCTGTTATGGGTATTTTTGAATCCAAGAAGATGATTTTCAGTTTGCCCCAGGATCACAAAAACAGCACCAAGTTTCATTTCTAGTCACAATTCATTAAAAACAGTCAGGATTATTATCTGGATCCAATCATGACATGCAAATATTTGACCTTTTTACTGTTCTGTAGTTAATGCAGGAGGAAAGAAGCAAAAACAAATTATTCTTTTTTTTTAAAAAAAAAGAAATCTTCTACGAGAGTTTTGTAAGCAGTGTCATTACTAAAGTTAAGCGCATCAGCGCAGCGTACGAAGAGAAAAATGTATTAGCAACTATTACCGAACATTTCTGATGTTCTCATACGTTCGATACTGTAAAAGGTAACTACTCTTTAAGCTCTTTACAGCATTCTTGTTTCCATAACGAAATCGCCCTTTCGAACGAAAAATATTGGATCGTGTTAATATTTCATTCACACATAAGTTACACATTTCATGTCTCCGTTGGTGTTTTTTCCGTTTTACGGTAAGTAAACTTTATTGTGCCGCCCAGACAGGAAAGTGCTGCTAAGCGACGCTGACTACAGTACCATAGAGCCGAATAACGGAGAGGGCATGGATGTTTGTAAATGTATAGTGTCTGTGCGGCATGTGGGGTACTCATATATGCAGTGAGCTGAAAGTCCTCTCGAAAAATTGGTGGTAGGAGAAGAGGTGTGCGAGACCCTTGGACCTGTTCCCCGGGGAAGCTCTCCTTCAAAATTGGGGCAGAACTGAGCAAAGTCGGACTGTCACCAGCGTGGTGCTCAAAGCATTGGCTAACGACAGACGCAGTCTAGTATTCCTTGCCTCGATAATAATTAGTGGACTTGTTCTAATCCAGACAAGTGAGATTAGTAACAACAACAGCAAAAAAACTTTTTTTTGAGGAGGCTTCAAATCCATGACATCAGATATTCACTGTATCAAAGCAAGCGATTAATTACATAGAAAATTATGTCTGCAAGCAAATTATATTTTAAGCAAAGCAGGATGAGATATTATAGTAATAACTGCTATCAGTTATCATCTGGCATTTTTGTTGTAATTTATGGAAAAGTAAATGAGTCCTAAAATTTTATAGATACACTTCGTATATTGGCAAAGTATATTCGTATATTCCTAAGTGCACAGTTTTGCATTGATGGTGGGAAAAGGGAGAGTCATATAACAATGAAAATTAACTTTTAAGAACAAAATTTTAAAATTTAACTAAGAAAAAACTCATTAATGTAATTACAATGAGGATACTGTAATTTTTTTCCAAATAAATTAATGGCTTTAATTACAAGGAATACACAAAACATATATGATTGTGTTCTAAACAGTCTCCTTTCCTCAAATAAATCAATGTTTTTTTGCTTAAATGTATCAGTAGATTTTATACTGTCTAATAGACCAGTGGAAGTATTATTTAAAAAAAATCAGTTTACCTTTTACTCTCTGATAAATCAATGTTTTTCTCCTTTCGAATAAAGCAATACATCTTTTTCTCTTTTGTAAATCTATGTGTGTTTTACATTAGTAAAAGAATGAACCCTCTTGTAGCTGATTTGGTGATTTTACCAATTGGCTTTTTTTCTCGCAAATGAATTGACTTTCTTCCCCTTCTTAAATAACCCACTGTTTTATATACTGTTAAATACAGCAATATATCTCCTGGTTTCAATTTAAATATTTCTTAAGATCCAATATTCGTATTTGTATTAAAAATTAAGAGGATTTGTTAAACTATTATCTTTTTAATACTTTTCAAATATTGTTTCTTTTGCACATGAAGAAATGTTGAATGAAATTTTATGCCGAATTAAGTGTATTTTGCTTACGTTGTTTAAGGGATATTTTATTATGCTCTTGTCCTAGAATTTATTTTAATAATTCAGAAATCTTAGAAAATGACAAGGTATGATATATCGGTTCGATATTTTAGCCCAAACCACCAAATATTTTTGTCTGATACTAATGAAATTATTCGATATTTTAATTCACTAATAATTAAATACTTTTAACAATGAATTTTTGCATGCTAAGCAAACTTTATCTGTCAAATTAATAAAAGTTTCAACTTTGGTGTTAGATATTTTATTTTAAGAACACGCTTTAATTATGAAGCTCATCTACTCAAATTTTATGCTTTTCTTTGTGTTTACTTCCAACAGGCATCAAATCCTGGCCAGTTTGAAAATGACATGGAACTTTCCTGGCAGAAAGGTCATACTCTGGATTCCATATTTCACAATGTAAGCTATTTTTTATGTTAACTTAAAATATAACATTTTTTATAATAAATATGTTTTTAATTAACAGTTTATTTATAAATGGTCTTCTTTCCCACCATGCGAAAGCTTGCTTTTAGAAATCTTAAGCACATATTTCCTTTTCATTGTTAATATGGCCAATGTATTTGCACTTCTTGATTGCTTAATCCGAATCCTCATACGTGAAAAAGCGCATAAATAATTGCGGTCGGGCAAGTGATGCATCTGTGGGGCTGTTGATCGTAGACTGTAGGAAGTATGATTTCACACATCTCTTTAGTAATTTTAATCAAGAACTACTCAAGAGGTTAGAATTTGTGTATTTCGCATACAAGTTCCCTTTCCCACGGATTATATTCAAGTACTTTTTACACCGCATAAATATTGTATTTATAAACTTCGATGCCTATTATTTACTTTTAGGAGGAAGCAGTAGAAGAATATAAATTATAAATTTCAAATATATTTAAAGATAATATTACGATACACGTAAGCCATATGGATGCTAAATATTTAAACACATAAGCGAAATTTTTTGTTGTACATACATTTATATATTTAGCATGCATACAACGACTAATTTCTATAAATATTCGAATTATGTCCATTTGATTGTATCATTATTTTGTGTATCTTTTTTTTTTTTTTTTTTTTTTTTTTTGTTGTGTGTGTGTGTGTGTGTGTGTGTGTGATTGAATTTTTGCTGCAAATGTTTATATCCTGTAAAGAGTTGTGGATTCTCGTGATTCTGAATCCAACAACTTTTAAATTGTAAAAATAACTCAACCAGAACCTAAGATACATAAGCTAAAATTCTACTAAGGTGGCTTGGTGTTTCTCGCCAACTAGGCGGCATCTGGCGATTTTCTTCCAGCCTGGTGGTTTCTTGGAAATTTTGGGAAAATGTATTTTCGAAGCTCTTGTACTGATTTTTTCCGAAGCTTCTAGAAATTCGGGAAACCTACATTAAGCGGCTCTATTTGAGCTGGAGTTTGAGTTGCTTCAGAATGCTGTTTAAAGACTTAGTTAAGAGAATTCCGGTTTAGAGTTAACTCTATGAGTGATGTCTCGTGTGTTAAAAAGGATTTGCCTTATGTGTGTTCTCCTTGAACTATTTATTGCTTTTATTCTTGCTGTGCAATGCTATTCCCCAATAAACTGCCAATTTCTTATTGCTCATTTGACGAAGTTATTGAAGAGATCTCAAGAACCCGTAGTTTACAACCATATATACGATATAATTTTGATTAACCTGTATAACATAAAGTCATACGAATGCAATTTATGTATATATTATAGATTTTGTATTTTCTCACTTATTTGCTGTTTCTTGTTTGTATGAGTTTTGAATGAAACTTCACAAAAATTATTTTTAATACTCATTATTAAATACATTTTTACAAATTGTTTCCTTTAGCCTACTTAAATATTCGAAATATTGTCCAGTTATTGTACTATTCTATTTATCTGATTTTTTTGCTTACGTTTTTGTCGAATGATATACATCAAAATGATTTTTGAGATTCATTATTAAATATAAAATTATTTATTAGATTTCTTGGGATTTCGTAAATATTGGACTTTTCTTTTCCTCTAACATTCGCATTTAATAAAACGCGAGTTGCTTTATAAATTCTGTTAAAAAAACAATTACAGTTCCCGTATTACAACGAAGGAGAACTGTATTCTTAATAATGAACGCTTATATGCAAGTCATATTTTTAAGATTTTTTTAAATAATATATTCTGTAAAACATCTTCCTTTGCAGGGTCGAGTTGGCATCAACACGGATAGGCCAGAAGAATCTCTAGTAGTGCATGGCAATATCAAAGTCACTGGACACATCTTGCAGCCATCAGATTTAAGAGCGAAATATGATATATGTGAGGTAAGAGTCTTTTAATAACCCTTCTAAGCAATTCCTGCTAAAAAGAACATGGCATATTGTCGAACTTAGATTTTACTTTTTGTGCACGGCTCTTTTTTGAAATGTGCACAAAAATCTCTCTCAATTTAATTTTTTGAATAAAATCTTTTACTATACCCCTGCACCCCCTCTAAAAAAAGAACGTATACACTTGTACATAATTATAATGCGGAACGATTTAGTTAGAAAAATTTTTAGTCATTTATTTTAATCTAACACATTTTAAATGACATAATTTTAAAACTTCCCATCTGAATTAAAGAAGGAATTAAGTCTTATGAGTAGTTTCTCCAAAACAAATTCTCAAAGTGTACATTTTTATTGAAGTTGCCATTTAAACTCAATTTTTTCAAATAACTTTTACTTTACATTCATATCTTTCCCACTTAAAGTCTACACAATAGATTTGCTACTATTATATACAAATATACTTTATATTATTCCAAGAAAATCAATAAAATTATTTTTTGTTTACTAAAATGTCATTTAAATCTTCTAACCTGAGAAAGTTTCGGAAGAAACGTTAATGTTGAGGAAGGGGGAAAGGTGATAAAAGTGGCTTAGTTAGTTATTGGAAAATTTTTCAGATTTACTTTATTTGAAAATAAGTTGTTGAAAATAATCAAGAAATTATAACGAATAAAATTTAACTAATGTTATGTATTGTGAGTTCTACGTCAAGTCACGAATCTGCACTTTTTGCTTCTTTTCATTTTCCTGTTATCCTGAAATAAACTCCTTTTAAGGATAATTTTTTTATCATTCTTTCAATATTTTAATAATTATTAGTCCAAAGGGGCTTTGTCCCTGAAAGACTATTGTTTTCGTTTTGCGATTTTGTGTTGGTTCACTAGAAATGTCCGTTTCACTTTTCAAACTGTTACCACCAAATATTAGAGTCCTGCATTAAATTTGAAGAAATTAAATTATAAAAAATCTGCATTTTCGCGTTGTGATAAAACAACGGTACATAAAGCCATCGTATTTTGAATGACGTAATCCTACTGAGAATATGGGCATGTGGAAGCCCAAATTTGAAATTTGGAATTTGTTTTATTATCGATTTCATATTTTGTAAACCTTTAACGAATTTTTGAGTAACAAACTCAACGATTTGAAAGCGAGCAGTGGCAACACCCTACGGGGGGGAACCTTTTTGTCTCCAGCGCGCGGAACTGTATGTCCGAAAATTCTAAAGATATGCTCATTTTAAAATTGTTTTGCGATATTGATGTTAAATTGAATTTTATGGTTTAAGTGCAAAGAACATTTAATAGATAAAGGTATCACGCAAAAGGTTAAAAAAATGTCCCCTTGGGCGTAATGTAAAATCTGAAAGATTTCAGATTTGTTTTCTTTTTAAACAGTTGTAAGGATCCTAAGTTTTACTAACGTTTATTTTATTTTAAAACTGTACTATCACTTCATATTTTCTACTTCCGGCCAGAATTAAATGTTTTAATTTGTTTATGCAAATTGTCTTGCTAACGCCCAAGTATTTAAGTTGTGGCTTTTTGCCAAGAGTTAGGGAGAGAGAAGGAGATTTAGGAAGCAAGCCGCTTGCCACTGCAGTTACAAGTTTTCACTCGGTTGCTGATTGCCTTTAAGGCCAGAGGTTTAGCCCTCTTGCTATTTGAAAACGTATTGTAGTTTCAGCAGCTCGGCGTACTACATACGTACCCTTTTAAATAAAGGCCAGTCTTAGTGCTAGGCATGTGTATACTAATTCAAAGTTAGCTTTTAGTTAGAGTTTTAGTTAGTAGTTTTATATTCTAACGTTCAGACCACAAGTGATTGGTCTTTGTATCCCTAAGTTCGGGAGTACTTGTAAAAGTATAGAAAATAAAGGGTTTCGTATACCCTTCCTGCTTGTGTCGTCTGTTACACACAAACCTTGAACATAGCTTGAGTAAGCTCCCTGTTCCTAATCAGGACACACCATGTTTCCAAAGCAAATCAAGAGAAACACAAGTCCTGACACACTAACGCTATAAATTATTGCAGAAAAACCTCAGATTTTAGTAAAAGATGTCATATGTTACCCAGTAGATGATGTCATCCATTAGATCTTTCTTATAAAGGGTATACAGTAGATCAATCTTAATAACAACCTTATAACTTTTTTTCTCAGAAACAATGGATTTTGCATACAAAATTCTTATGAGAAGTATTTTATCTTTTCTCATGACTAATGATAATTAAAATATAATTTTATAATTTGTTTGGAAATCTTAAGTTTTCCATTCGTTGGAGAATAAATTATTTGACCTTCGTTGTGAAGTCGGACTGTTGTATACAGGCTAAATAATTTAAAATTCTAACAAAAAGTAGCACAGAAAAGAGTATTCAGAAACTACTTACAAAAATGTCAATATTTAAACATTGCCATTAATGTTTTAATTTTAGGATTCAGCTACCGTTCCTAAGAAATCATATGTTCTTAAAATATCGTAATGATGTCCAAATTCATACGTAGTACACACAAAACATTTTCAGACTCATAATAATTTTTATTTAACTCTTCCGTGAGGTTAATTTCCTATTACTTCTCTCTTTGAGAATTAATTACAACCCATGACAATAATCCAGACATCTTTGTATTTGGGAATTAATTCTTAACGGGGGGAAAACGCAAAGTATTTAACTACCTGCTGTGTCATTCAGTAGAATTTTTTTTCTCTTTAGCTGGACACGAGGGAGCAGTTGAAGAATGTTGCCAATCTTAGGATAGTACGCTACCGATACTTACCAGAATTTGGCGACCATGTAGGTCTCAGCCAGTTGACCGATACCGGTGTCATTGCTCAGGAAGTACAGCATGTAATACCTGAAGCAGTCATTGAAACTGGTGACGTCTTGCTAAAAGATGGGCAGCTCATAGAAAAACTGCTTGTAGTGAATAAGGTAATTTGTATTTAAGAATCATCATATTTGTAAAATGTGACATTAGTATCACATGAAATCGGAGGAAAGGGTGTCATTCTTATGAACAACACAAAACCAGCTGTCACCAATTTACAAAAACATTTTAAAGGTATAAATGAATTATTTTTAGGCCCTTGTAATTTTGAAATTCTTCCGAAAAATTACAAACTTCAGTTAAAATGATTTTATTAGAAAACGTAGATACTTAAAAACCTAAATTTAATTTTCTTAGGCTGAGAAAAAGTACAGAAACCGAGTTAAAAATCACGATAAATCTGCTTCCAGAATATACAATTTACACCATTAAAAAAATTATTTTCAATGTTATAAAACATTTTTAAAAAATTTTCAGTATTACATCCATTTAATACCTAACGAGAGGATACTTTTTATAGCATACTTTACTTTTTCTGCCTATTTACAATATTTTTTACAATATTTTGAATGCATGAGAGTTTCATCAATTTTAAAAGCGTATATATGTGTATAAAGTTACCGGAATCTTCCCAATCATTTATAGCCTGGAGGAAAATTTCTTCGTCGGAACATCGTGTAAATTTCTGCTGTTAAAATACATGAAAAGAAGGTAATTAAAAAAATTGCATTCTGGTTAAACACATCCTTAAGCTTAATCGCAGATGTCCCCATGATTAAAATCTTGTACGAGCTGTCTACTGAAATCACTGAACTCGGACTTGAAAGATTTCAAATCCAAGTTCTGTATTCCCAAACCGAATCATCACATTAATATTATATTCAGGCAAAGGACTGCGAGAGAAAGCAATACATGATAATGTTTCATGCTCTTTCTTGATTGAAACATCAATGTTGAATATCGGTTCCACTTAGCATAGCATTCAGCTGTGCATCGCAATATATTCATGTAACCTCGGCAATAAAAAGCATAAAAATATTATAATCAAGAGATTGCGCGCTCTTGACATGGGAAGCAATCTTTAGAAATGGAACGATTTGGCCGCCATAAATAGAATTGGTTCTAAAACAATGGGAAAAAAAGAATCATTTTCGTAAATTGATGTTATGTGTTTGAAAGTGTTTGATGCAATTTTTCAATACATACTTCTATTAGGTGCCAGCATCATCTCTAAAATATACTTAGAAGATAAGCATATCACAGAAAAGTCCGTGGATACATACCTCCCGCAAGGTTATGTTTGATTTCCTACATCAGCTTAAGACGATATATGGCCAGAGTGATCTGTCAGAAGTTACTGAGGCTGGGGCAGAACTTTTTGCTTTGTCCTCTGCATAGCTTATGCCTCCCATTGATAGATGATCATAGCTTTTTAGTAATAAAGCTGATTATTACTAGGCAAGGCATTAGCATATGTAATTGACAAGTAAAACTTCTCTCTTTTGATACCGCTTTCCCAATAAACCACATATTTTCTGAAAGCTTATGTCACAAGTAGAAAAAGTGTGAAATCTTAGGGCCAAGCGTTTAGGAGCAATACGGCGCACAAAGGATCAGAAAAGTGATGGAAACATGACATCAAAAGTCGCTAAAATGCTCGTTTCACGTGTTTATATGAACACGTGAATAGTAAGGAACATGAATAGTAAAGAGGTGGGGATCTCACTATAAAGGAAGAACAACTCGTTGAAATTATACATTGGGATGTTGAAAATGTGACTTGTTATTGACTTCCAACAAAATCTGTTACAAGAGACAATCGATGTGCAATTCATCAAATAAACAGTGAGACAGGCAGGAAGACAGTTCACAATGGGCACATTTTACAAAAGCGATAGCCTCACACTTTGCACACTCATTATTTGTCAATGAATCGAAGCAGTAATCCATTGGCGCAATCCACATTCCAGGTTCGTTGTCCAAGTATCTGCTCCTATAAAAAGCATATTTAATCAAGTTCTTAAAACGAGAAGTGCTGAATTGATATAGTGCAACGGACTGCAAAATGATTGTGCCCGTTATGTAACGAACAAAAGATTTGTAGTGGCTGAAAAAGTGAATATCTAGAGGCTGAATCTTACCCGTAAATCTTTCAGGTACCAGTTCATTTTGTAGGACGCTACCATCAGGTACTTCGGAAGCAGATAATGCATGAACATACAAGAAATAGAGACGCCATTACGGAAATATGTCCATCTATACACACTTCAATGATACTTTGTGGATTCTATAGCTCCTAAACGCTTGTTCCTCTTCCCCTAAGACTTCACAGTTTTTCTACTTGTGATATAAGCTTTCAGAAAATATATGCGTTTCCGGAAAACCGGTATCAAAGGAGAGAAGGTTTACTTGTGAGTGAATGATTGGTTGGCAAAGTTATTTGTTTCTAAAGCAGTATATACAAGAATAAGACTGACAAAATTGGCAATATCTAAAGTAACAGAATGGAGGGTTACAACTTTAAGGGCTTATGGAACATGGTAAAATAATAGTTTCATAATACAGTTTGAGGAGGAATGTCTAATGAGAATGCGAAAACACATTATGAAGAAAGAAAAAGTCATTTTAGTCACGGATATTTACAAGAAATAGTGTTTGATATTTCAAGACTTGTTCAAAAGAACGACAATCAGCTGCAATACATGAATCAAGGAGACAACAAAATAAACAGAGGACACCCGGACATCTCAGATAGCTACTCTAATTCTGGCGACGTGGTGTTCAGGAAAGCCAATCTGCATCTCGTAAATGAGATCCGTCGTCATTGTGATGCATATATTGCATTAATTTGAAAATTTCTTGCAAATTCAAACACTATTCCTTGTAAATATTCGTGATTAAAACTATCTTTAATTTTGTATATTCTTCCTACTTACAATTTTCAAATTAAAGTTAGAATTTTTTTATACTTTGATCACAGATACTTTTTTTAATACTTTATAAATATATATATATATATCTATATATGTATATATATATAACATATATGTATATATATATATATATATAATAACTATGTATATATATATAACAACCATAGTGTGTGTGTGTATATATATATATTACCTTAAAATCCTGTTTTGTATATGAACCTGGCAAAAAGCTTTTAAATCAGTAAACTCATTCAAACAACAATCATAAAGATAATATTTTATTAACATATTATATCAGGCGCGTTATATCAGACAAATACGAAAGGGCTGAATTAATTTTAAATTCTTCAAAACTTAAAGCATACTAAATTTTGAAATTATAATGCAAGTTCAATTAAACTTCTTTAACGTTATTATATTGAGAAAAATTTTCACTTCGTTTCTTTTATTAAAGTTATTATTGGGTCTAAATTTAAAATATCTTACTGATGCATTATTTGCCTTCAAGGAACGTATATTTATGGAAAATGTCGGAGCTGTAAAAGAACTGTGTAAAGTTACGGACAATCTTGAAAACAGGATTGACGAACTAGAAAGAATTAATCGAAAATTGAGTAGCATGAAAAGGAAAGATAGTCTCAAATCTACCGCTACAGATCTCAGGTAAATATTAGTTTGCAATATTTAGAATATTATATTATAAATTATGTAAATAACATAAATATTTAATTAATGTTTTCTTGATATATATCCTTAATTGCCATTCCTCAATATTGTGTTATAGTATACAAAAATACATGTCTTAGTTTGAAAATATTTCAATTAAATTCCGTAAAAATGTGCACTAGATTCGAAATATTTTATTTAAGAATAAGAAACTCGATTATTTTTTTTCTGAATTAAGAAATATTTTGTCAAAAGTTTAAGTTTTTCAATATTATTCTTTATTTATTCATTTTATGCCAAAATGAACGTTAGTCCCGTATGGGCTATTAATCTCAAAAAGGCATTTTCCTTGAATCACTATAAACGGTGTATCATTTTTCTGATTGTTGCCATCAAATATTATCGCCGTATATTATATTTAGAGAAATTAAGTTATGAAGAATATGCATGAATATATACATTTCATATTTTTAAAGATTTTAAAATTTTTAAATTTTAAAGAATTTTTTATTAGCAAACTCAAGGATTTCAAAGCAAGCAGTGACAATACGGAAATAAACATTTTTGTATTCAAGCTGTTTTTAAATATTTTGTGATTTTGCTGTTGAATTGATTTTTAATGTGGCATAAGCATCAAGAATGTGATATTTAATAAATAAAGTAAACACAGAAAGGGTTAATAATAAAAAAAAATGTTTTGTAAAGCCATCTTAGTCAGGAAACTCAACATTGATATGGGGAACTGAGAAAAGCCTGATAAAGTGTATGCCAACATTTAACGCTGCATCGGGAATTTTAAACGTATACAGCTATGCTACTTTTAAAATCTTTGTAATTTTTCTGTTGAATTGTATATGGGTGTGCAAAGAAAATTATGCTTAATAATTAAGCTAAAAAAAGCCCCCCCCCCAAAAAAAGTGGGTTAGTGAGTGTAACAGTAGACACGTAGATTGCGAGCTTAGCGAGAGGATAAAAACATTAATAAACCTCCATGGGCGACCGTTAAAATCTGAAATATTTCAGACTTTTACATAATTTTTTATTCTTTTATTTTTCTCATTGTAACTAATTTTTCATCATTTCAACTAAATACTAATTTTTAAATGTTTCTAATTACTGTTTAATCTTTGCCTTTAGCTAAATGCATCATCATAATTTTTCTTAAAAATTCTTATGCAGTCAACTTTCGATATAAGAACACAGAAAGAAAAATCAGAATTTATTTCTTATAGCCAAAATCTCTTAATAAACGAAACTGATAAAATTTTGAGATTATACTACACTAATTATTGGTGAAAAAGATACTACGTATTTGAAACATTTTATTAGTGTGCATTTCTCTGTGCTATATGCCATTTACGAACATTTAAGATTTCTGAAAACTAACAAAATATACTTTCCTTTCGTTTTTTAAACACTTTAATGTACAATTTTTCTTTCTGACACCTCTTTGAAATCTCTCTTTTGTTGTACTCATATTGTGAGAATAACAGAAATTGGTTACGTTAGTATAATGTTTAAAAATTGACAAATATTAAATGAATGTTCAGAAGGAAAATACAGCTTTGGAGATTTAACTAGTTTGCATTTTCTTCCCTCACAGTCGCATAAGCAGCGTTACATCAAGAGGAAAGCATCGCTGCCATCACACGTGTTCGAAACACTTGTCTAAACGTCATATGGATTCATGTTCCAGTCATTTTATTCAGTCCACAATCATCCTTCTCGTCATCATTATGGCTTGCTGGTAAGGAAGTCTAAAACTATTTGTAACACAACGTATAAAAATATTTCCAATGATTTAGACGTCATTTTAACAGGTTTTGTTTTTTTATATATAATTCAATAACTACTTTTTTACTTTGTATTTACTCACCGAAGGATAATGTTAGAAAACTGTATGATGAAGAAATAATTAGTTGTAAAACAGATGTTAAATATAAGAGGATCTGCACTAATTGATCCAATCGAAGCCTCAAAAGAGCACTATAGTAACATCTAAAAAAGCATTAGACAAATTATCTATAAAATGAAATTAAGGCTAATTGTTCCAGTAGAAGCGACTGCAGCATTTATGAAATTGGATTAATTCGAATTTGTTTCATATATATGTCTTTTAGAAAAGTTATATTCCTGTCATTATATGACAGTGTAACTTATTAAAAATATTAGCAACAAGCTTGTAAATGAAGTTGGATATAATTCTTCCAATTCAATATAAATACATATCCCGGAAAAAAAAACCACTTTATCATTTTAATGAGCTAAAGCTTCTAGAATGAGCTGAGCATATTTTAATCGTGTTTGTGAGAATAATCTCTAATTTTTATAAGGTAATGCTTATAATGTATTAAAATTTATATGTAATTATGGTGAAAAAGCAACTTACTTGTGTTGTACAACTTATACAGAATTGAATTTATTACTATCGAAAAGTATACTAGGGGTATCTGCGTAAAGGGAAAAAAGCTTTAGTGAAAAATTTTCTAAGAGAAACTGGTTCGTATTCAAATTACCTATGAAGGAAACTACGAAAGCGTACATGCAGCCAGGTCGTTCACCTGGGTTTATATCCGGATCGAACTACAATTGTTTAACGGTCTTATGCAACTGGCCATTGGTCGGCCTAAGACCTTATATTTTAGGGAATTCATAGAAAGATTTCAATGCTGATGAATTGAAAACGAGAATTTAATATCTGATATATTTAATAAAGTTGAGGATAGAGTTACTGCCTCTTAAAAATTGAATTTTATAATAAAAATCAAATTTATCTCTGCATTTTCTAAAGTCGGAATAATTTTCTTAAATTTTAATGAGCATTACCAATGAACAATGCCAAAATGAACTTTCTCTTTTGTACCAAGCTTGAACATTTATGCAAAACTATTTTCCAACAAAAGTTTAATGACCTGACAATACTGTAAGCAGAAAAAAAAGATGTTCTAAAAACTCTTATTATAAAAATATCATTAATAAGCTTACAGATTTTAAAACTCAACAAAGAGTTCTGACTTTACTGCATGCTCAGAAGCCGAAAAGCTCTAGACGTGGCCTTAAGCACCCCATCTAATAAGACGTTTAGTAGATCCAGTTCGTAAAGACGATAAAACTGTTTAAATTTTTTTTTCTATTTTATTGAATTAATTTCAAGAATAAAATCGCTTTTTTTAAATCTTGTTTCCTTACAGATATTTCTAAACATTCACAGAAGTTAGGTAAAATTTAGGCTTTTATTTTGTTTGTTTTAAGTTCAATAAATGGAGCTTAGTACATTTCAAATCTTAAGAGAACTGATCTCATTTCAATATTTTTAACAGAAACAAAATTCTTCTTAGCAAATACACCGGTTAATTCTCAGAAATTTTATAAAACGACACAGCATTTTCTTAGGAAAAGTACAAAGAGAAAAATACGTTCTTATTACAAGGAGCGTAAAAACTTTTGAAAAAAGAAAGCAAATCTTAATAATAAAGAATTTAACCAAAATTTTATAGATGAATCAAATAGTTCGTTTTTAGCATTTGAAATGGTGTCCATTGATTAATTGATTACAGCTTGAAATATTCAAATTCACTCTTTCTTTTTCCGAACTGTTTAATGGAGTCTTTTTCTCCTTTGTAATATTATGGTACAAAGTGATTTCAAATCCTTTACACATTTAGAAAAATATCGGGTTTTAACAAAAGTTTCACTGCACCGCAAATGTCGTCTGCGCAAGCAGTTCGCGTTGTCGTGTTTAAAAATATTATGTCAAACGCTTTTTGCCGTTTGAAAAAAAACTTGCTTTAGAACACTGTATTGTAAAATTTGTAAAAAAAAAAAAAAAAAAAAAAAAAAATGCCGTTATTACGTACGAGACGTCTGAAATGGAACTATCACGCTACCAGATTAGAACCATCGTTTACTTCTAGTTCTGTTGCAAAACGTCAGCTACAGAATGTCGGCAAATCATGTGTATAGCTTTAGGTATTAATGTTGCATATGACACTGTGAAGTGTCAAAAACAAGAATTATGACATTCAAGAAGCAGAGCGCTCTGGCCGGCCTACTGATGTTGATGAGGCCCGCCTGCGAGAACTTGTGGAAGAATGAGATGAAACGTTTTGCTATCCTTCAGATTTTTTTAATGTATGCAACCATTCGAGGACTTGCAAAGGAGTTAAACGTTAGTGCCAGGTCCATTAGTCGCGCTGTGCATCGTATAAACTTGACGTTATAACTTCAATTGCTGGATGCCGCTTTTCGGACTTCTACTTTTTCCCACACCTGCAGCTAGTACATCTTGCTAGCGTTATCTTCCATTCTGCACAGGACGTCCGAAATGATGTTGATCTGTTTTTGGACACGCGGACACCAAGATTCAGGACCGAAGGTTTTGAAAAAAAAATACCAAAACGTTGGCATAGATTTGGGTGGTGATTAGTACTTGTACTAAAGAAACTGCTTTCATGTTTTTTTTAACTTTATGAACATTTTTTGACGAAAAACTTTCGTTACAACCACATATTTGCAAAGAAACAGAAACACAAAATTTATAAATATTGCTACTGTGATTAAAAAAGTACCTTTTTGATAGAATCATTACTAAATATCGGTGTGTGCCTTTTGCTGCTCGAATGTCTAACCGATGTTGAATTGATTGCTGAATTCCTAAAACTGAGTGCTGAATAGTCTCAATTTCTTGAAAATTCATATTTTAATTTATACAGTATCTTTCGTGATACGCACGCTTAGTTTTTGTTATGCCTCTACAAGCAGAGTAATGTCTGGAAAACGAAATGGACATTCTTTTGTGCTAATTTAAGAAATATATTATAGTCTACATTTAAGAAATCTATATTTAAGAAAAATATTATATATTTTCTATATTTAAGAAATATCGTAGTCTATATTTAAGAAAAATATTTCTTTCGTACAGGCTGGCATTACTTTACTTTAATAAGAGGATGCCCCATTGTGTTGCGAAATGACATTTGCATGTCTTTAAAAAAATCTGAAGGATAGCAAACATTTTTATCTCATTCAAATAAACATAATGTGACAAAAGAGTCACTCGAAGAAAGTCAAATGATTGTTATCGATTAACTTTGCAAAGGGAGAAAAATTAATTATTGTAGTAACATCTGTAAACTTTGTGTTCTTATTGTTTACACTTTTCTTACTAATAATTTTTTTAATAAGTCACGGATTTATTGATTAACCTATACTTTTAGAAATTAAAAAATTATAAAATGTTTACTTAAATGTGAGTGTATGAATTTTTCGTTGCATTATTTTCCGTAATGTTGTTCCTTTCAGCCTCATGGCACTGGCAACGCTTTATATCATGGAGTGGCAAAGTAGACAAAACTCGCCATTCTTAGCGCCTCTAGTGATACAAGTAAAAAGGTAAATTAATTTTTAAAACTTATCGTATTTTCTCTTTCGTGTTCTCAGCTATTAAATTCTGAAGACACATTTTCTCAGTTGTGCGAAGAGTATTAGTCATTCTTTTGCGCAAGCGATTTAAATTTTTAATAGCTTTTCAGATGGTAGTTTAAAATATTTAACACTTTGATGGTGTAACAGACAACAATATTTATAATTCATATGTACTAGGATTATTATGAAACATGCTGAAAAGAATAAAGCTTTTTTTCTTTACTTTGCCGAGTTTTATTACGCAAAAGTGACACTAATTTATTCTAAGAATATATATATTATTTGCAGCAGAAAAAGAAATGTTTTCGTTTTCAATTGTTTCTGAAATATATATAGAGAGAGGTAAAGCAAAATCATATTTAGTTTAACGAATCAACAAAGTTTAATCACATTTAAGTACATAAACAAAATAATAAGTCATATCAAGTCACACTATGAAAGGAGAATTGGTAATCCTAAAGATACCTTACAAATTCATAGTACTAAAAACATAAAAATAAGCAAGAAATTTTTGATTATTTCTTTTGCTAAGTTGAGGAAATATTCTCAAAGGTTAAAGGTAATCAATTATCTGTAATATTTTGATAATACTTGAATTATAGGTGTGATGAAGGAACGTTTTTTTTATCATAAAAATTGTTAATTTTTTCTTAAAAAGATTTATTGATAGATTTGTATTCTTATTAAAATAATATTCGATAAAATTAAGTTTGGAATGTAACATCTCCTATGGGATGTCCGTTTTCATTGATGCAATTCTGAAGACGTTCTTGGAAGCTGGCGTCAACTCTTTCCAACATCGCTCTTTCAATTTGACCGATTTCTCGGCGAATAGTTTCCTCCAATTCTTCCAATGTACAGGCTTATGTATAGATGTGCCGTGATGTGACTTCGCAAGAAATAACCATAAAAAAATAGTCTTATCAACTTAATAAATTAAAACATTTTCATATTAAATTTAACTTTCTGACATTTGTTAAATTAAAACATTTTCATATTAAATTTAACTTTCTGACCTAGCGATTCGCAATCTATATAAACAGAGAACTGTCTATGTGTTTATCTTTCATATAAATCTATAGTTTTATTCCGATCTTGATGAAATTTGACACATTTGACCTTCAAAACAAGAGGAAGGTTGTTGGCTACATAAAATTTCGAAAATAGCTTATGCAGAGCTTTTCACTTTAACCCTCTGAGCCGCCAGGGTTTTCGGTAAGAAAGCACAAATTTCCCAAAACTACTATGAGAATTTTTTTTTTTTTTTTTTTTTTTTTTTTTTGATTTTTATGTAAAAACTCTCTTGGTATTACATACTTGGATTTGTGTACTTCTGATATATTGCCTTAATTTCTTTGACATATTTTATTATGCACGTATATATACGTTCGTACAGGTATCACAAAAAACATTCTAGGCCGTATATAATTTTACAGCTTGCCGCTTAGAGGGTTAAGCGGAGCTTTTTCACTCTACATAAAATCCGGACAACGACTGGTACTTTTGCCAGTACTGAATATTAAACTGCTAATCATTCAAAATAAGCACCATGAAGGAACCATCTAAAGAGCATGAAACTTCCATGATGTGCATACCGTAATGAAATATGTAAATGATTATAATTTTAGTCTATGCGCATATCATGGGCGACTGCAACGCTCCTTATAAGCCGCATATAAAAGGAGGATTGCTTAAAGTATTTCTTAAAGAAATTTCTTAAAGTAGCGTATACCAAAATACCGGGAAGCATATTTCACAAGTGCACATCAGCGTAGCCACTCAGGGAGGGGTTTCGAAAATAGACCAATGAGCTTCTATTGCTCTTGTGACGCTAAATCTTCGTGAATAAGAGCGTATGTTGTTTACGTTTTAATTTGTATTTGTTTCGCAATTATAAATGTATGGCGTAATAGTACAAAATCCCGTAGTGCTTTCGTTTTAGAATTTAATTAATCGCTGACATTTCACTTTCACGATTTTTATCACGCATTAACATTTGGATTGATGTTCATGGCATATTATCGCTTTCGAGGAAATGACTCAAGGTACAATTAGCCTCGAATATTATGCATTTACTAACACCTGTGGATTAAAAGAATTCAAGTGTAAAGTTTTATTTTAATTGAGCTGAGAAAGGCGGGAAGTGTTACAATGAATCTAGTGTTTTCTTATTTCAATGCTTGCATTCTTTTGATTTTTAAAGTGAATTCATATGCAATATGTATTTTTTCAGAATACATATTGCATATGACCTGAGTATATCCATTGTTAACATTAAAAGTTATATGTGATTAAATTGAATATATTCGTTGTGAATAAAATAAATTTATTCTGTATGATGAGTATTTCTTGTGCAGACAGAACATAAGAGTGAGCAGTTATTAAACGTGAAATTTAACACACTAAATATATACAAATGAAAAATTAGTAAAGTTCACTTTGAATAAGATTCTGCATTGGCTATTATTATAGAACATCTTTTTCATATAGACTGCAATAAAAAGTGCTGACTTCTATTTTTACATATATTATTGGAGTAAATATTTTTCTCATATGCTTAGTTTTATGTAAAGATAGCATTTGGGCTCAGATGTTTATCACATATTTCTTTCTTCATCTTATTTACCACTTATTAAGTAATATTTCAGACTGATAGTTTTGCTGAAAATCCAACATGTGTTAGTGTTTATTTCAAATTCTTTCAGCCAGGTAGTGAAATCTTCACAATTGCCTATGTTTGATCTAACTTCGCAATGAAAATTTTCAAAAGAAATCGACGATGCTTTAATTATTTTATTACAGAAAATTGCGTGGCAGAATATTTTCAACCATCTTGTTTAAATCTTAAAGCATGCGAAAGATCATGTAACATGATAGAAATATTACTGGATGTCCATTGGTCCATCCTAAAAGCCCTATGGAGATTTCCGGTTATGTTTTACCACCAATCCTCGAATTCCATATCACAGATTATGTTCTTACTGCATTAATATAAATATTAACGAGACATAGTGCACAATAAAAATTAAACTTTATTTAGGAACATCGCGCATACTCCCCGACAGCCTGCCTGTTTCGCTCTGCTCGCTACTCGTAAGAAAAACTTCTCCTCTAGGGTTGCCACACTTATCGGAGGGCGCAAGGCGCGCTCCTTATCGCCATCACCACAGAGTTTCCCCCCAGTTCCTTTAATGGCTATTCAAAGGAACGACATAGGTTATGAAATTATCTCAGAGTATCCGTACTGTCGGGTATTTTTACATGATTACAAAATTAGAATAGATCAAAATGAAATTCAATATATAACAAGGTAAATAAACAAGGTATAATAAACATGAAATAACAAGAAATATGTTAAGATATGAATTTAAAAAAAAAAATGTTTTAAATTGTTATGTAAGAAGCAAGTTTCTTAGGGAAGTGAACATGTCTTCCCGATCTGGTGACAGTTTGTGTCTTAGAGAGTTCGTTTGCAGATTTATTCTGCTGAACTGTCTTTAAGTCTTTATTTGTTTTCAGTTCAGGCAAATTAGAGTCCGAAAGCAAATAGGCTGGTTTCACACGGTCTATAGACACAGTAGATTTCAGACCGTTAATATCAATTGTGAAAGTTTTGTCCGTTCTAGAAAGGACTTTATGCGGACCTGTGTATGGTTGGCACAGAGGTGGCTTTACTCGATCGACACGTAAGTATACATGCGTACACGACTTTAAGGTAGCACTTACGTAACATTTTTCTTGGCAATGTGCAGATGTTGCTATTGGATTCAATTGTTGCATTCTATGCCTAAGATTCGTGATAAATTGTGTGCCATACGGAGATATCTTAGATGACGTTATCATATCACTAGGCAGCTTGAGAGTTGTGCCGTACACCAGTTCAGCACAAGATGACTGTAGATCTTCCTTTACGGCTGTCCGAATACCAAGCATAACAACTGGTAGTGTTTCAGTCCAGTTATTGGTCTTGTGAGCCTTGAGAGAAGATTTTAAATGTCGATGAAATCGTTCAACAATGCCGTTTGACATTGGATGATAGGCTGTTGTTGTGATTCTGTTCGTACCCAAAATGCGCGTGAATTCTGCAAAAAGTGCGGATCTCATTTGAGAACCTTGGTCTGTTGTTATGATCGATGGGCAGCCAAAACGAGATATCCAACAGTTGAAGATGGCTCTGCAAATGGTTTCCGTTTTCATATCCGGGATGGGAATGGCTTCAGGCCATCTGGAGAATCTATCTATTAGAGTCAAAAGGTACACATTGCCTTCTGATGGAGGTAACGGTCCGACGATATCCATATGGATTTCTGAAAAACGTGCATCAGGAAGAGAGAATGTGCCCAGTGGTGCTTTAGTATGCCTAGTAATTTTCGATTTTTGGCAAGATTCAAGATCACAGGATTTCACCCAATTTTTGATATGACGTTTCATATCGGGCCATACATAACGAGAACAAATAAGCTTCGTAGTAGCTGCAATTCCTGGATGTGACAGATTATGCAGATGATTAAAGATGAGTCTGCGAAAGGAATTCGGAACAAATGGACGAGGAATGTCTGTTGATATGTCACAAAGAATATTACCATCAGAATATTGGCACGGTTTAAATTCCAGTTTCAAAGATGATGTGTTGTTTTTGAGAAGGTCTTGTACCTCCGGATCATGCCGTTGAGCTTCCGAAAATTTTTTAAAATCCAAAAATGGAGATTTTTTGTTATGGAATCAATTTCGATTCTTGAAAGAGCGTCAGCAACGACGTTTTTTGAACCTTGCACATGCCTAATATCAGTAGAGTACTGAGAAATAAAATCTAAATGTCGCAATTGTCGAGGTGAACATTTATGAGGGTTCTGTTTAAAAGCGTATATTAACGGTTTTTGATCCGTATAAATTATAAAATTTCTGCCCTCTAACATGTGTCGGAATTTCTTAATTGCAGAATAAATAGAAAATAATTCCCTATCGTACGCGGACCATTTCTGTTGACTTTTATTGAGTTTCATAGAGAAAAATGCTATAGGTTCCCATGTTTGTTGAGACAACTGCATAAGTGTGCCGCCGATTGCGACGTCTGAGGCATCTACCCAGATGCTTAGCTGGGCTCCGGGAATAGGGTGTCTCAAAAGGGTAGCCTGAGCAATGGCATTTTTGGCAGCAATAAAGGCTTGTTCAGCATTCTCGTTCCAATTTAATTGTGGGGATGAATCCTGAACACGAGAACGAGATTTCTTTTTATTCAATATAGCCTTCTAACAATTTTATTAAAGGAGAAAGAATATGTGCTGCTTTAGGTATGAAACATCTGTAAAAGTTAAACATGCCTAAAAATCGGCGAAGCTGAGTGAGAGTGGTCGGTAGGTTGAGGAAAATCTAAAATACATTTGACTTTGTCAGGAAGAGGTTCAATTCCGTTTTCACTAAGGTGAAAACCTAAGAAATCAATAGATGTTTGACCAAAGGTGCATTTTGAAACATTTATGCAAAGTCCATATTCCTGAAGTTTGGAAAATAAAGCTTTCAAATGCCTGCAATGTTCCTCAGAATCTTTAGAGGCTATGAGCAAGTCATCGACAAAAGCGTAAACGCCTTCTAAATCCCGCGTGACTTCATCTATAAAACGTTGAAAAGTCGCGGATGCATTGCATAAGCCGAATTGCATACGGGTACTTTCGAATAAACCGAATGGTGTGCATATGGCGGTTTTGTGGATGTCGGCTGGGTTAATTGGTATTTGATGGTATGCCTTAATCAGGTCGACATGACTAAAAATTTTAGTACCGTGCAATGCAGCAGTAAAATCGGCTAAACATGGAATAGGGTATTTGTCTTTTATTCTTTGAGCGTTCAATGCTCGATAATCTCCTACAGGTCTCCATTCCAGACTTCCCTTTTTTGGAACCATGTGAAGTGGGGATGCATAATTGCTGCTCGAAGGTCTCAAATGCCCCAATTGCATCATAGTTTGAAATTCTTGTTTTGCTATTTTTAAGCGATCTGGAGCTAACCGACGAGGTTTTGCAACCACAGGTGGACCTTTAGTTATGATATAATGAACGGTGTTATGTTTAACAGGTTGGTTAGGATCTGGTAATCTAGTAACTGAAGGAAATTTTTTTAAAATTTTGTGATATGGTGTATCACTAAATACAGTTTTTACTGAATAAATGCTTGCATTTTTCACGCAACCGACGGTTTTAAAATGCGTTTTTAAATCTTTGAGACATTTGTTTCTGAGATCAGGCACCAATTCAAAGAAATGGAGAAAATCTGCTCCAAGAATGGGTGTACTAACATTTGCTATAAGAAAAGTCCATGTAAACTGTCGTCTTAATTTGAAATCCAAAGAAAGTGTTTTTTGACCATAAACATGAATAGTAGAAGAATTAGCAGCGAAAAGTGTTTGTTGGGACGAATTCCGTTTTTGAGAATTATTTGCTGGAAGTAAGGACACGTCAGAGCCGGTATCGACCAAGAATGAAAGGTTTGTTCTACGGTCACGAACGAACAGGCGACGTGAAACTTAAAGGCAAAGAATAAGTCGCCTCTATTCTTTGCTGGTTTCATTTCCCTGCCATGAACAAGGTTTTGTACATTTGTCATCTCTACACTTTTTCCCAAAACGTCTATGATACCAGCAAACAGAATAATCTCTCCTTTTGGAATTGCTTCTTTCTCTATTGCGATCTCCGCGGTTTGGCGAGCGACCACGAGAAAGAGAAATGCGATCAATACGTTTGTTTAATTTTTCTATTTGTTTAAATAATTTATCCTCAAGAGACTGATCGACTGTGCGAGAAACGGCACAAGTCCCTGGGGTTGGATTTACTTCTAAAATTCTGTCGGCAATTTCTGCAGCTTTATCTACAGTTAAATTGGAAACCGCTGCCAAAATAGACTGAACAGTCGAAGGCAAACGTTGAAGGAATAATTCTAACATTAAGTTATCAGGAACATTTAAAGATTCTGCTCGACGTTTCATATTTCTAAGCAAATCGGAAGGTTTTCGAGAACCTAATTCTTCTCCAGATAATAATTGGCGAATTTCTTGCTGAGAAGATTCTCTGAACGATTTATTAACTCAGTTTTAAGCTTTGCATATGGATCAATAGGGTCTGGTTTCATAAGTAAATCCCGTACTATTGAAGCAATATCTGGAGGAAGATGAGCAACTACATAATTATATTTAGAAATGGATTCTGTGATAGGTTTGGGGGTGGCAAGAAGAGCAAAGGTACTTTCACACATAATAAACCATAAAGATGGGTCTGATCGGTTATAAACCGGAAATTTGGACGGCATGAACATCAGACATTGTGCAAGGTTTTTAAGCCAAAAATAAAAGCAAAAATTTACTAAAGAAAATGAAATTAAATGATAAGTAGAAAACAGAATTATAAAATGATCTATAATTACTACTACTCATGTGATCCGGAGGATGATGAAAACCGATGTAATCCATTACTTCTGGTTTGGAGATCTTGAGTGATGGCTTGTAGTCAAAACCGAAAGTGCTTGAGAACTGTTCATACGATTTAACACAGTCCAGGTTACCATTATGGAGATTTCCGGTTATGTTTTACCACCAATCCTCGAATTCCATATCACAGATTATGTTCTTACTGCATTAATATAAATACTAACGAGACATAGTGCACAATAAAAATTAAACTTTATTTAGGAACATCGCGCATACTCCCCGACAGCCTGCCTGTTTCGCTCTGCTCGCTACTCGTAAGAAAAACTTCTCCTCTAGGGTTGCCACACTTATCGGAGGGCGCAAGGCGCGATCACCACAGCCCCTCCCTCGGTGGATACGCAGATGTACACTTGTGAAACATACTACCGGGAAGCGTAATGGCAAACCGCACATTGAGTTGATCAATGTTAAACGAATTTCGCTTACTGCGCATGCTCAGAATAGAATTTTGGGCAATTACAACGTTGGCGCAATTTTAAATGAAGAGAAATACGGTATATGGTTGATATTGTGTTATCTGGGCGTATACAGTTCGGTGTTTTAAAACTTGTTAGGTTATAAGTTGCTTCATTACTTAGAGTGCAAATGTGGATTGTAAACTACGCAAATTTTCGTTACAAAACAGGAAGCTTTACAAGATATATTAGCTAAATGATACAAAATATGCCATTCGTATATACTTTCACAAATTAAGGAATAAATCCAATTTGAATTACTGAATTTAAGTAACTGATATTAAATGTAATGTTTATGAACAAAATAAACCAAAACGAAATGAAACACAAACACATGCAATAAGCACGCAACAAATTTCCGTAGATTTGCAATTTTTTAAAGCAGTAAAACCAACATGACTAACAGGCTTGTATAGAGTTGCTTATGCTAGTCGCTAGTATTTCCTTCCACGCCAAAGGTACACCACTGAGCATGCGCAGTAAGCGAAATTCGTTAACACTGATCAACTCAATGTGCGGTTTGCCATTATGCTACCGGGGAACAGTTATGTATACAGAGAATACTCTGAAGCAGTTTCCAGTACAGTTGCCTTTTGAATATTGGACTCAACACTTTAGAAAATCGTTTTTATGTCGTGTTGCGTTCTCTTTTCTGTTTATCGAAACATAGAAAAAAGTAATAATATAAATACTTTCAGAAATAAAAATTTAATTAAATAATTTCATATTAATGAAAGCATGTTATAAGAAATCTGTAATATTGTTTTAAACCTAGCATGAATAACTGCGGTGTCAAATTTTATGATTTTAATGAGATCATTTTATATTTGTGTATAATAGAGAGATACGTTGTACTATTTCTAATTTAGGTTTCTTTTTTAGTTCCCCTTTCACGAATTCAACAAGTCCCTTACCAGAGAAATATACCATATTTTCTACTTTATTTCCAACCGCTGCTCAACATCGATCATCTTTAGAATCTAGTAAATCAACAACAAGCACATTACCTGGTAAGCAATTGAATTCTTTTACATAAAATTTATAATTTTTATGGCTTCATAACTAATCTCAGTTTTATAGATAAAATTTTTACAGGAATTAAAATAACATTTTTCACTCAATGTAAAAAAATGCTTTCAAAATTTTCAGAAAATCTGTTTAATTTAGAGACAAAAATTGTTTAACTTTATATATATATATATTCATTTGGTATATATGTATATATATATATACCAAATGAATAAAATGAATTTTATACTACCAATTAATTATGGTATCAGGTAAAATGGATCCTACGCCGTGGGAATCTCCACCACAACATCCTGTGACAAATCGAGAAGATTTTAACAACCCTTATCCGGGAGAAATAGATTGCTTACCAGAAGAATGCCCTATTTTCTGTTGCGATCTCTATCCGGATATTCCTCATGATGAAGATTTCTTGTCGTACTCAAATCACCATGATGACGAAAGATCACTACGAAATGAAAAGAAGAAAAGAAGCGAAAATCAGCTTGTTTCCAGTGGTAAGATGAAAATTCCTTATTATTATCTTAAACTTTTATTTATCTCATTCATGTTATTTGTCATTATGATAAAAATGTTGTCATCAATTTTTAAACTACTTCCTAATAAGATATTGAGCACAAATTTTGTACATACTTTGTTTGTCGAAATATGGCAAAGGGTTTTTTCAAAATTTGATTTATATTTTTTGTTTAATATTTAAACGATTTTTCATACATATCTTAGTTTAATGAAGGAATTAAAAATGTGAGACCGAATAGAACATCACCGAACACAGCGGGTAAAAAAAAAATTTCAGCAAACTTGTATGAATACTGTTGTAACTCCATTTCTGAATTTATCGAAAAACTCTCGTTTCTTCGACTATTGGACTTCAGTGATTTTAAAATTTCAACATCTTAAACATCATCAGATAAGAAATTCTGAAATTTTCACAGATCGTAATAAAACAAAAACCTTGCCCTTTTTTAAAACAAGAATCTTAAAAATATTAATGGAGTGATTTTCTATATTTATTTAAAAAATATGTTTCAGGTCTTGAGCAGAAATGGAAAAATTGCTTCTTCCGGTCATCTCATCGTTTTCAGATATCCAATTTTCAGTACTATATCATATTGTCTCATCATTCTTATCGCTTCTGTAAAAATCTCATTGCATTTACTGCCTCAAAACCAACACAGCTTAAGCACTAACTGGCATTTAAAATTATTTATTTACAATGAAATCTACAGTCATTTTTTTCTGCGTTAAAAACATTTATCAGGTATTTTCTTCATCCTTTCGCGCATGCCTTCTGGTGTAACTGGAAGCATGTCTAACACATGTTCGGGAGCTCCGGAATTCGAATACCGGTAAGAGCGCTGAGGTTTTCTTCAGGTTTCAAACATCGAAAAAATTCTACAATGACTAGTACAAGTTTATAATAATTTTTCTCAGTTTAAAAGTTGATTTCATAAATTTATAAGGTATTTCTCCCGCTTTTTTGCATTCCTTCGTGGCCAGCCCATTCGGCGCATATTCGAAAGGTCCGTGGTTCGAGTCCCGGTGAAGGCATTGCTCATTTTTCCTGCTTCCAAATAACCTAGTGTCTCTACAAATTTTATTTTGATATGTAATATTACACTCTCCTGTCGGACTTTCAAATTTCTAACATTAAATATATATATATATCCTTTATTAAGATCTGAAATTTTCCTAACGTTATCAAAGAACAGTTTCACGGTTCTTTGATAACGTTAACCGAATTACACATCTTTTTAATTTTTTTAAACTAGCCACGCTTTGTTCTTAGTCCAAAGGAGCGTTAGCTCAGAAAGGCTACTAATTTCGTTTTAGAATTTTGCGTCGATTCACTTTCTGCCTTGACTGACTTTTTAAACTGTTGCCACCAAATATTATCGCCCTGTATTATATTTAAAGAAATTAAATAATGGAGAATCTGCATAAATGTATGTATTTTTCTCGCATTGTGATAAAGCAACGGTACCTAGAGCCATCAGTCTTTCACCGAATGTGGGCATCTGATAGACTTAATTTGGAATTGTATTTTTTTTATCAATTTCATATTTTGTAAAATTTAACGAATTTTTTATTAACAAACTTAAGGATTTCAAAGCGAGCAACGGCAACACTCTACGGGGAAAAAACTTTTTATTTCCAACGGGCGCGGAACTGTGTATCGGAAATTCTAAAGATATGCTCATTTTAAAATTATTTTGCGACATTGCTTCCATTGGAATTCCAACGGAATGGCATTTCGGAATAGAAATGTTTTTTTTTTTTTTTTTTTTTTTTTTTTTGGTAATGCTATTTTGCATTACCATCTATTTTTCATATTTCATTGTTTCGGAATATTGTGCACATATAGCTTTTATTGTAATTTTAACTACGAAATCATGCAAGTTGAAGAATTCTTTTTGAAACTAGAAAAAAATAGTGATTCTAGATTTGAATGGCTACGCAGATTTATGTACCTATAATACCTACGTAGATTTATGTACCTGTCTGATTTATATTTAAATACGTTAATACATTAATTTGTGTTTGTCTTTCAAATAAATATGTTTGCTCTGTTCACCCTCGATATCGATAGAGTTTTATTCAAAATCCACGCTGAACTAAGGTTGCTTTTTGATCTAATTTTAAATATCCAAATTTCGATAATTTACAGAAAATTTTTGCCAGTGTTATATAATATAAAATTCATTCTGAAGTCTTTTTTCCTTACTTATACTATGAATCTGAGAAAGATTAAATATAAGAATTTTATTAGGTTACTTTGTTATTAATCTCTTGGCATAAATTAAAGTCGCTTTCTGATATCTTTTAAATGAAAGTTTTTATTTCATCATGCCGACAGTATTTACATAAATTAAAGTAGAAATAAAAATATTTTTACCTGTAGATGTGAAGACGCAGAGTCTAAATCCTGATCGTCCGTCCAGCATTAAAGACAAAACCGTCAAAGACGCAAAGAAGGGCAAGTCAAAATCATTGGCAAATTCTTCTTCCGACAGCCATAAACCGAAAAAGAGGATGATTGGTTCAGAAGAAGACACAGTAGATAACAGACAAATCTTCAGATCAGGTAAATGGAAAGCAATCAGAAAATAGCGTCTTTTTCTTGCCGATTACCAATCAGAAAGAAAGTATGAAATAAAATTGTAATATGATGTCTTTAGTAGTGTTTTTGAGCGAAAAAGAGTGCCTCTTCGGATTCACATAACATTACCAGACGTAGCTTCATTTTCAACCTATGTATCACATGTCAATTAAGTAGCAATTATTTTGTAGTAGTTAACAAGGTTTCTGCTAAGTTAAGCATAGACAAAATAGTTAGAAACATTACAGCATGATATTTTTTTAATTGTTTCTTGCGCTAAATTGAATGACAATGTTGATTAAATTAAAATGAAATATTTTTATGCTATAAAGAAAGTCAATGAAAAAGAAAGAAGAAATGAGGTAAGAATCAAACCCGCGTTCTTATTATCCAAGAAAAATTGTAGTGTTATAAAATTTAAATTGTACAACTGAAAAATTTTTAGTAAAACTTCACAAATATATAAACCGACATTTTTTTTTTTTTTCCAGAATACATTTCCGAGCCTTTGCTGTACCTCGTGGAGCTAAATGTCACTTTATTTCCAGAGCTTTGTTCCGAAGAGCGTCAAGAAGGTTCAACTATTGTTTATATTTCCTGCGTTATTTTTATATCTAGGCATTTTTCTCATCCTAATGTCACTGTACTCGTTAGGTAAGATTTTAGGTATTTTCGAAAATTTTCTTTTCGAGATTATCAAATGTATGAAATTATGCAAAGAAAATTCACACTTATCGTGCTCAATTAATGCTTATATTAATTTCAACTTCTTATATCTTCTGATTTCCAGAACAGGGGAAAGTGATCTTATCACTGAATTCTGTGGTGGCAGCCATTTTGTTTCTTGCCCGAGAGAGGTCCTCAGAGACGATGAAAGCCATACGAGTAATCGAGTAGCCAAAAGAGAGTCCATTTCACAGGTATCCTTACAGACTCGTAAAATAGATCACTGTGGTTTGATTTAAACTTGATGTTTGTAACCTTCAAGTTTAAATCAAGTCCTAAAATTTGGGGATTGACGAAATGAGGATAAAAATATTTTTAAAGTTCAAAGAGAAACTCGTGATTTTATTTTACACGTTAAACACAATTGAATTCCTCATTTCTAAGCTGCAAATTAATATTTTATGCTTAATTCCTGTACGAAACTTCAATGTTTATACTTTATTTATCTTAAATGCGCAGCAAATGTACTGAATTATCTATTACTTCTGTTAATAAACGCAATATTACCTTAAAAATTAGCTATTCAGAGATTTAAATGAACAGCATACAGTTTAAAATAGGTTTAATTAAAGTAAAAATAAAGGTTAAATGGGTTTTTAGTTTACTTCTGAAAAACATAATGCTTCTTTTTTAAAGGCCATGTTGATATTCTGTCCGAAACTATGGCAAATACTGCGTGAAACCATGATGTCGTTGGATTTCAATGCAGTTTATTAATCGACAAATCTAACGCCTTTATCTGTACATTCCATTGCTTCACTTTGATTACCCTCGTTATTTCACTTTCATTTCAATTATTCTGTTCCCGCTGTTTGTTCGTTGTCACTCAGTCAAGAATGCCTTTGAGTAATAAAATCACATTTCTTATATGTATGTAAGATAAAAAATATTTAACTATACTTTAAATTAGAATTAACTATACTTTACTATACTTTAAATTGCATCTTAATTTCTTTTTTAATTTGGGTGCTTCGTAATTTTTTATCCAATTTTTGAACAAATAAATGTTGTACCCAAAATGGCTTTGTTAGCTTTTTAAATATTTTATTCTTCTCTCTTAAACTTATGTAATAATTTATTGTTTTAATAATTTATTTAATTTTTATGTTTTAATTTATGTAAACAGAAAACAAAAAATTTTAGTTAAAAAACGCGATATTATCAAATTTATATAACATTACGGAACTAAATTTTCAAATGGTGCTTTTACAAAATCTATACAAAAATTGGTATTTTGAACTATTTTCAATTGTAGAAGGGAAATACGTATGTTAGAATTATATGTAAATGAACTATGTGTATGTAAATCGTTTTCAAAACTAAATTTTATCAGTCAACTGATGAGAACGGAACATATACTAGAACTGCCTCCCCTATTTTTTTGAAATTGTAAACAGTGTATTAGATTTTTAAAATAATATATAAAAGCTCTCTAATTTTTTTCAAATTACGACAGAGTGTAACGTTAGCTACTAATACCTATTCTACGATACTCAAGAAATAAAATTTCAGCATAATATATTATGCTATAATTTTATTTCATGATACTTTATTTCAATGAAATAAAATTATAGCAAATACACAATGATTAGGATTCACTTCAAGGTTAATAAAAAAATAAGCATACATTATACGTGTTGTGAACTGAAACGTTTCTAAATTCATTATTACAGGTACTTTTCTCTTCTTTTTAAATGATACATCATTTAGATATATTAGATTTAGATATTTAAAAATAAAGCATAAACATTACATGCAGTTTGCAAACAGCAAGTAAAATATAAATATATCTTCAAAACATCAAAACAAATACGTTAAGTATTTCCTCGTATGTAAGTCCTGTTAGTAGCCAAAAATATTATAGTTTAAAAATGTTTTACCTATTAATTATTATACACTACTATATTAAAATACATTTTTCAGAGAAAGTGAAGGCTTTAATTATTTATTAATATCTCTTATTTCCAGAATCGTTCATGGCAACTACCAGTTGGTTCCTATATAAGAAGCGTGTACCGCTTCAGAAGCATGCCTCGCAGTTTTTCTACAGATCAGCAGGTAAGAAGTTTATATACTATTTCTCGTCTATACAACTTTATATACCAAAGCGAATTATTATTAAATTATTGATTGAAATTAAAGCTTTTTTTCCTCCGTTATTTATTTATTTCGATTTTCAACCCTTATTAATAAACTTGATAGGATGTCATACTAACTTCTTTAGGTAACGATAGCAATAAATAACTAAATAACTTTTAATCTGATCGGGAAATTCTAGTACTTTCCTTTTTACCTCTCTGTACGAAGTAAAGGGAGTATTGTAATCGCGAAAAATTTCGGGTATCAAATTTCAACGACAATATCCATTTTAACCGATCTCAGAACCATCTGAACGATGTTTTTGTGTGATATCTGTAGGTACGAATAAAATAAAGGGCTGTGTTTGCCAAAAAGGATTGTAAAATGGATTTAAAATAGATTCAGAAAAGATTTATTCTCGACCAATGTATGTATCTCGCATAACTCAGCCATAGAACGTTGAAATTTTATATATGGGACCGCTATAACATGTAGTTGTGCACCTCCCTTTTTCGTCGCAATCGGCTGCACCAATCGCATATATATTCTCACTCTGTTACCTGGCTCGGTGAGTTTGGTTTTTTATTCTTATATATTGGTAAACTGTGCATTTTTTTGCTTTAAAAATGATTGGATTATGTAGTTTTTATGTTCCGGTTAAGGTTTTTATACCTTTAGTTAATCTGCATGCAGTTATTGCAGAATTAGCAGCAATTTAAGCCTGTTGTCTGCATACTTCATTACCTGAAAATTTAGTGATATGGATCAATCATCAGTGTAGATATTGAAAAATACAGGAGCTAGGATATTACTCTGAGGAACTGTACCTTTGATAACATGTTTTTCAGAAAGGGTAAAAGTGTCACCTTCTTGGGAAGCAAGAGGGATCCAAGCGACTTACTGCTATGCCCATTAAGAAAATAGAGAACGTAAGAAGCGTGTAAAATATCTTTTCATTAAGAACTTAGTAATTTAACAAAATGCACTTCTTGTGCTTATAGAACCAGCCAGCATTTATGGCGTAACTCAAAAGTAATGAATTCAAATTAAAACTAAGTTAATTCTCAAGTTAGCAAAAGGTACAAACGCGCAAACTGACTCACACCTATATCGACGAGAGAAGCACTATTGACAAGAATAAAACACTATTGACAAGAATAAAACAACACCGAAGACAGAATGCTATCATGGAATTTCAACTAGTAATGTAGCCTTCAGCGTGTGGAACACTTTCTGACTTAACAATCTAAAACTTTTCTTTAAATACTATCTCTTTCTACTTCATTTGAATATAAGCGAATTAAAATTAACATTCTGGCAGAAAAACGGAAAGGGAGTATTACAGTAAAGATACTGAACATAAAATAACTAGTTAGATAAAATAAATGAATGCAAAGAGAAGAAACCTAGTTGGGTTGGTGTATTTCTTATAAGGTACATGTTCCTGGCTGCGTGGGTCTCTAACCCGTTTGTCTCCTGTAACATCCAATAAGTTATTCGTAATTTTTAATTCGCCAGTTATTCGTTATCTCCAAAATTATTCGTAATCTCTACCATTTCTATCAAACTAGTTATAGATACGCCGATAAAATAATATAAAATAAAATAAAATAAGAAAATAAAAAAACGAGTCTCCATGTTAAGATTTAAACATTGTGTCCATACCGATATATTTTTATCAAATATTTCTTCCTCTGGCATATCTTTGCTGGATTATGCGGTTTAGAAGCTCCTAAAGGTTGGACACCGTTTGCATAAGCGGTAATCTCTTGAATTTAAAAAGTTTCTAAAATAAACTAACCTTTACTAAAACACAACTTCTGCAATTTCCTTGACAAGTTTACTTGACACTTAATTGAATTGAATTCAATTGTTAAGAAGACACAAGTTCGTAGCATGAAATTTTAATAGCTTTAAAAAATTACTTTTAACAGTGTACCGATGTTACCTTGTTACTAATATCTACAAAAACGAAGATGGTAGTTCGGTGGAAGTCGTCTTATTTGTGTTACCTTAAGTGTAGAAAATTCTTGCATTATCACACTTCGCATAACTAAAACAATTTTACCGTTAAAATGTTACCCTTTATTTATGGTCTTCTAATAAACTTAATGCCTGCTTATACTTTTAAAATTTCTGCATTTATACACGTTTAAAACTTTCCTATTTAAAATAAATTACGTTTCATGTTATTAGTTGAAGTATTATTTTTATATTTATTTTATTTTATTATTTTTATTTATATTTTTATTCTAAATGTGTTTTATCAAATAAACAGTGGAACCTAAACTTTAATAATGCTCTCAAGAAGATGAATGTAACTTCATTGACAAGAATTAGTATTTTAACGAATTTAAGACTCTTATCTGCTTAGATTACATCATATTACTATTTAATTTTTTATTTTGGTAAATTAGGCTGTTTTTACTTGAAATTAACTCCAAATAACGAATGAATTTTTTCATATCAAGTTAGCCTTCGTCTCTTGCAATTGTATTTTATTACTTTTGCATGAAAAAAAATTGCGTATATAATTCTACTAATACCAATCTGTTTTATTATCTCCAAAACAATTAGGAAAATTTTCTGTCTTCTGGCAACAACAGTAGCCTTGACATTTTAAAATAATTCATAAAAAAGCGTCAGCTTCAATTTATTAAAAAAAAAACATTTCTTTACAAAAAATTGCACATCATTAGTAAAATAGTCTGATGCGTACACCACATGACTTCCTCGTACGGAATATTAAATTATACGCATTTTTTCATACATTTCATTTAGACTTATTACCTCGAATTTCATTAGAGATACACGTATATTTCGCATTCAATTAAATTCAGTTCTCACTTCACGACAAAGCAAAATTACATAAAATTCAAAATATCTTTATTAAAAATTTAAAAATATAGAAAAATATAAAACACCAAATACAGTTAAAATAAATTAAAAAATTTTTACAATTAAAATTAGAGTTCTTACGCAAAAACAAGCAATTCGGCCAGCGGTCAAGAAAGCAGATTTTAACAAAACTGGAAGTTTTATATATTTATTTATATACTTTTGGTGCGGCCGATTGCAATCAAAAAATGGGTGCACAATTACATGTAATAGCAGTCCTATATGCAAAATATCAACGCTCTGAGGCTAATCATATTTGAGTTATGTGAGATACATACATACGTACGTACGTCGCAAAAAAATTTCTTCTGAATCCATACAAAATCCATTTTGCAATCCGTTTTGTGAAAAAGTGTCCTTTATTCTGTCTCTAAGTACAGATGGCACGGAAAAACATCGTTAAATTGCATTCGATAGTGGTCAAAATGTATATTTTCGTTGAAATATGACACTCGAAAATTTTCGTGATTACAATACTTCCTTTACTTAGTAGAAGGAAGCAAAACGGAATGCAGGTGGGATTTTTTTCATTCAGTCGTACAGACCTTCACATCTTCGACGTAGGTTCAGTCAACGGGACCCGTTATTGTAACGAGATTCTTCTTCCATATGTGCGTCTTTTTAGAGGCGCTATGGGTCCGCAGTTCCTTTTCATGGACGACAATGCACCATGTCATCGCACAGTAGCTGCCGAACAGCTCTTAGAGATGAGGATATTGAACGTATGGATTGGCCGGCACGATCTCCGGATCTCAATCCCATCGAGCATGTATGGGATTTTCTAAGGCAGACGCTTAGCAGCTGTACCTTACCACCAGTAACGATTCCGGAGCTTCGATTGGCGCTGCAACGAATGGGCAGCAATGCCTCAACAACTCATTAACACCCTCATTCTCAGCATGGGCAGACGCTGTGAAACCTGCCTAACAGTCAGGGAGATCATATCCCCTATTAAAGACCGGATGTTTCTTGCTGGACCCCCATCACAGGGATGTTTCGGCCTTCAGTCGCATTGCGCTCCATGCTACTTTTTCAATAAAGCTTCTTTTTATCCCTCTGATTTCTCTTTTAGTAAGTGTTGCTTACATTACTCATGTCCTTACGTATTGGGGATCTTACGGTATTAAATGTGTTCTTTTGGAAGCTTTTGTACAAAGTTATATTGAAAAAACCGTCTCGTCCTTAATTTTTACACACCAGTGTATGTCTCATTGAATTAATTCAGCTCTGACTTCGCGACAAGGCAAAAATACATAAAAACCCAAAATATCTGAATTAAAAATTGAAAGATATAGAAAAATTTAAAACACCAAATGCAGTTAAAACAATTAAATTATTTTTTACAATTAAAATTACAATTTCTATGCAAAAACAAGCAATTCGGCCAGCAGGCAAGAAGACAGATTTTTCGGTACACAAAATTGAAAGTTTGCTTTTGGTCTCACTCCGCAAAAAGACACTGAAAGCTTAGAAACTGGCTTTATGTGTTACGGACGCTGTGCTGCGTCAATACATGGGATAATTTAAATGCTAATTCCGGAATAGATAAAGCATGATTAAATTCGCAATAATAAAAGAAGATATCACTTTGTTGTTGTGAAACTTAGTTTCTCGAGATTAGCAACAAATCCACTATTCTGCCAAGTTTTAAATGTAAACAAATATGGCTGCTATGGTTAAAAAATTAGGCTTAGCAGCACTTATACAACTATTAAATGTTGATAATCCTACAACTATAACATGCAGGTTAACTAAAGGCATAAAAGGCTTAACCGGAAGATAAGAACAATGTACAATTTACTAACATATAAGAATTTTAAAAAAACTGAGCTTGCTGAGCCGAGTAACAGTTGGGTACTTTGATACTTTTGATATGCCTGTTTCAGCAGGAATTATATCCCGCTTTTACAGGCACCTCAAATAACCTCGGTTAGAGGAAACATAACATACAGTGCTTCGCAGTAATATCTTGACAAGGAACTGCAAGAAGATTGTATAGATGTGGCCTAGGCCAGTGTAAATGAAACTTCGAAATTGGCTGGAAAAAGTTAAGATTATTTATGGAGGATTCCGATAAATGT